GTGTTTTTTTACCGCCACCCAACAGCTTCAGCTGTTGCAGGAATGGGCAGGTCCGTCCGAATTATTACTACGACCTCACAGCGTGGCGATGCAGCCGTTGATGCTAAGCGCGCTATTTCAGTAAAAGCCTATTCCCTCTTAGCCTCTAGCCTTGAAGATGCCTATGTTACAATCGGACGGAAAGACAAACGTCGTCAGGTTGTTCTATTCCATAGTCGTATGGATGATAAATGATGCTGCGAGTAAGATGTCCATGGGCGGTGGTTATCACTTAACATCAGGTGAACCGCCAGCTCATTTGTCCTTTTCTCACATAAGAATAATATCTCTAATCTTTAATCAAATGTTTTATTTTAAACATGCCATTAACATTGTCGTGATAGCTTAGTGTCCGAGCACTCGCCCCATAATTCAATATACTCGAGCAACCTGAATTTGATCCCCGGTGCCAGCACCAAAGAAATTGTCAATTTAAGTGCTGAATTATCCATGCTACCCTCCGTCTGAAGAGGCCTTTGCCCAGCAGTGGGACAGGTATTTGCTTTTTTTTTTATGCGAGAAGTTGCCAAACGAGCAGACGTGTCACCTGATGTTAAGTGAATACCGCCGCCCATGGACGTCTGCTACATCCGAAGGTTACAGATGCGTTGACAACCTTTTGAAAACTGGGCTCCGGCTACCTCACTCACCAGATGAAACGCGAAAGCATTTGTCATACTTCCACTTTACGCTGGTCTTCTGTGAGGTCGTAATACTTACCCGGACGGGCCTGCGCATTCGTGCAACAGCCGAGGCTGCTGCGTGGCCCTACCACCGTTGCTGATATTGCTGATATTTTACTTTACATATTGTCGACAGACAAGGTGTACGTCCCGCGCAGTGGGTTCGTCGGTCGCGGTCGAAACTCTTGGAGGAACCCTCACTATCGCACTTCGCACCCATACCGGAGGAACAACGCTCAGAGGGTAAGAAACTAAACAGTTTCCACATACATCGGGCTCCAGGGTACTTTAATTTGCAAGTGGTTCCCCGATGGTTCCTTGGCCCGGTTGCCAGGTATTAGCTAATTGTTGCTATTGCCTTGTGTGTTGTGTTTAATACCAGCGGCACAAACATATGTATTGTCAAACAGATGATTGTTTCGCGAGCTGCGAGAAGTTCCCATTTGATGAAGTCCGTGGCCGAGTTGCCAAGGTATCGGCTACGGTGCTAGGGTTCGTGGGTTCGATTCCCGTTCACAGATGCTTGTTTTCGTGTCTGGGTGTTAGTCATTGAGCCCCCGCGTAAATCAGGAGTTGTGGCACAGTGCCACAACTGTCAACATTTTGGCCACACGGCAAATAACTGCTTCGCTCACCCTACGTGCGTCAAATGCACCGGTGACCACGGCACAACCGAGTGCACGAGGCCAAAAGATTGCGCAGATCCACCGGACTGCGTAAACTGTCACGCTACCGGCCACCCGGCTGTTATAGAGGCTGCGCCAAGGCCCCGAAAACTCCCGCGAGGAAATCTCCCGCGAAATCTACGTTGCCCAAACCCGCGCCCTTACCCGTCATAAACGCCTGGGCGAAACCCCAGGTAACCGCGCCGGTACTCCCGGTCGCCTCACGACCGATCGCACAACCGCTGCCCGCCTCTCAAAGCGAGTCTCCGAGAAACTATTACTTCCGCAGTCACAGACTCGGAACGGACGGTGAAACTGTCGGGCGACCGACGGTTTAACTTTCCGCCCGACCTAAGACTGCTAATTAGACAGAAAAATGCAGCCAAACGCGCCTTCGACCGAATCGAACCGAACCCTACTTCGACGCCTTCAGCTAGAAGTCAAAGATCGTGTTTCGGAACACCGACACACAACGTGGGACACTTTCCTAGAGGACATCGAGCCATCGCACACCGCACACCGCACACCTGGCGGTTGGCCCGCAGTCTGAAAGCAGACCCCCGCGAATCTCTACCGCCGTTAATTAGACCTAATAGCGCTTCAGTAGCCCTAGATGACTCCGAAAAAGCCGAATGCCCCCACAATCTAGAGCAGCAATGGCGTACATTGCTGCTCTAGATTGTGTCGCGCGAACACACCGATACAGTCATTTTCAACACTCTACTCTCCAGTTGCTCCTTCCCGGACGACTGGAAACAAGCCACGGTTATCGGCATTCGCAAGCCGAATAAACCAGCCAACCAGCCCTATCAGTCACCAGTAAACCAGCCAACCAGCTATCGTCCCATCAGCCTCCTCAATTGCCTAGGGAAGCTCTACGAGCGGCTCTTATTAAACAGGCTCAAAGAGCACGTATTTTCCAACGGCCTTCTGCCGACGGAACAATTCGGCTTTCGAGCTAGACACTCTTGTCCCGACCAGTTATACCGGCTAACGGAGCACCTAAAAGGCCTAAACCACCCGAAACATATCAGTACAGGGGCTCTTTTCTTCGATGTCGCAAAAGCATTCGACAAGGTCTGGCACAACGGCTTGCTTTACAAGCTGTACACACTCAAAGTGCCAGATAGGCTCGTATACACCATCCGGGCCTTTTTGTTGAATCGCTCTTTTCGATATCGAGTCGAGGGCACCCTCTCCACAAGCCGCCGCCTCACGGCTGGCGTACCACAAGGCTCCTGCCTCTCTGCTTGCTCTTTACGCTCTACACGAGCGACATACCCAAAGACCTCCACGTCAATCTCGCGCTTTTCGCGGATGACACCGCGCTCTTTTATTCAGACCGCAACCTTAGAATACTAACCACTCGACTCCAAAGCGCCGCCGACCGCCTCGGCGATTGGTTCCGCAAATGGAGAATAGAAATAAATCCCGAAAAGAGTGTGGCGATTCACTTCACACGAAGTACTTACCCGTCACATCTTTACAATGGTCCTTGCCAATGCAGAAAGTTGGGGCAAATATCCCTTTATGGCCAACCGCTCCCCTGGGAGAAAAAGGTCAAATACTTAGGAGTCACTTTCGACTCGCGTATGTCATTTACTACGCACATTAATAATGTTCGTAATAGAGCCGCGTTCGTCTCCGGCCGGCTACACAATTTAATTAACGCTAAAAGTAAAATGCCCTTAAGGCACAAATTATTATTATATAAGACCTGCGTACGACCTATTATGTCCTACGCATGCATGATCTTCGCCCACACGCACCCTACTCGCTTGTACAAGCTGCAAATTGTACAAAATAAGTTCATCCGCCGTGCAACCGGTGCGCAGTGGTATCAACGCAACGTCGATCTGCACAGCGATTGCAGACTCCCGACGATTCGCCATTCTTTTAAAGACCTGACCAAACGGTTCTTCGATAGAGCCGAACATCATCCCTACCCTATTGTGGTAAGCGCAGCAAATTACCAACCCGACACAAACGCGAACGTCAACAAGCGTCGCCCGCGAAACGTCCTCATCGACCCGGTTGAGGAAGGGGACTTAGATACGCCGGACCCACCGCCGGGGGGTCCCGCCGGATAACACTACACCCACAGCTAGTGTAACAACAAACACAATAGTTCGCCCTCGCCTCCGAGCACGGCGAGACCAACACAACGCGTACACAAGGTACACCCGCGTTCCAGGGCGGTTCTCACCGCCCCCAGCCACCGATTAGCTAAAAACACAGTCGACGGCCATCGGGGTCTCGGTCCGCACCGCAACTTCGATGGCCCTTAGATGACATGTCGTAGTTAAACGCACGCATGAGCACATGCGCGGCCCTACCCACAGCGGAAGGCCCAAACCCGTGGGTTCTGGCTAGCCCACCGGTTCTGCGTCAGATGAAGCTTTAATAGTCTCGGGACTGAAAGCAAAAACATCAGTTAATACAAGAGGTGTCTGGGTGTTTGTCCACGTGATATTTATGTACGTGAAATGACCTTACAACACAGGATAGTTTTATTCCAGGGTAAGGGCTATGTTTTTTACAGATAAAAAGAATTAGAACAGTTATCACCGTCCCTTATGATGTAACTCAACGCTAGGGGAAATATAGAACCGTTTCCAATACATGCAGTCACACGGCAACGTTTTTACAGTACTGGGTGGGGCGGTACCACTTAGTGTTTTCGTGTTGTTTACATCCATCAAACTAATGATGTGGACGGTCCGAAGCTTTTCCCTCACAAAGATGACGACCCAATAGGTGTAGTGGATAGTGATACTGTCTCTTGTACCAGAGGGTGTGGGTTGGATTCCTACTACTGGAAAATCATTGTTTGATTAACATAGTGTTTTTCCTGTGTCTGGACGTTTATGTATCTATAAAATATATTTATTACGAAAGAAAAGTACGTTTAAGTTTTATCAGTTACCTAGTATCCATAGTACAATCCTGCTTAGTTTGGAACTAGATAATGTTGTGTAAAAATGTGTCATGAAATATTTATTTATTTAAGGAAAAACTGGGGCAAAGGGGCATATATCTCACCGTGGACTTTCAGAACAACTTCCCGTCGAGGTCTTCGTTCCCGCCGCAGCAGATGCGCACCGGCCACCAGCCGCCGCCGAGCAGGCTGAACCACATGGACATGCGTCCCGACATAATCCATCCGCCGCTGGGCCTAGAACCCTCGCCGGAGAGGTCACTCCGACCCCCAGAAAGATCCCTCCTACCCCCAGATAGGTCCCTCCTACCCGCAGACAGGTCCCTCCTACCCCCAGACAGGTCCCTCCTACCCCCCGATAGGTCTCTCTTGCGCCCGGAGAGGTCTCTCCCGCCCCTCGACATGCCCAACTCCTACCGGCCCCTAGAGAGCCGGCCCTACCAGGATAACTACCCCCGCTACCCCGAGTTCCGCCCCAGCTTCGAACCCCGGCCCCCGTTCCAGTACCAGCCCACCTTCAACCCGCGCCCCTTCGGCCCCACCCGCGAAATAGCCCCGAGCAGCGTCAGCCACATACCGCAAGTGACCATCCGGCAACAGCTGCCAGTTGTTGCCAGTGGGCTGCCGAAGATGGACAAGTTCCCCAAGCTGATGGGCCGCGAGCCCGAAGTGAGGATGCTGCCAGTCCAGCTGCCACCCAACTTGCCACCTGGCGGCTTGGCAGGGAAAAAGGTTCTGATCAACCCGCACTTCAAGGGCAACTTCCAGCCTCCAGTTGAAGGTAAGCCCGGGTAAAGGCATCATTAAACATTTAGCTGTGGTAGGGCCACGCAACACTCTTCGGCTGTTGCACCAATGGGCAGCTCCGTCCGGGGAAGTACCACGACCTGACGGAAGACCGACGTGAAGCGGAAGTTTCATACTTCTGCGTTTCGTCTTGTGAGTGAGGTAGTTGGGCACAGTTTATTATAAGGTGGCAACGCAACTGCAACCCTACGGCTGTTGCAAATGTCCAGGGGCGAGGGTTATCACTTAACATCAGGTGAACCTTGCCTGCTACCTTCTCACATAAAAAATACATTGCTTAGTAGCATTGCTTGGGTGGTTTCTTATTTCATAAACAAAAGAGTTAATTTTTACGAGATAAAATGCGTTTTGTAAAATCCGGGTAGAAGCAATGCATCTACCAATCTCTGCTAAAACATGATCTCACAGGTGTGAAAGATAAATGAACTCACAGAAAATTGCATCAAATTAAATGTATCATGTCAATGAGTTAAATGACATTGAAGATAGTCTAGCAAAGCGAATCGGCATTTAACTACAAATTTGTTTCTTTGTCAAAGTCAGTAATGTCTTGTGAAGTTCTATTTAACTGATAACACAGCAGTTCAGATGCTATTTCTATATACGCTTACAGCGGATAATGTTCTTGTTGTATAGTATATTAATTATTTGTGTTTATACAAACTGTCTAATGTCATAGGGCTACCGACATACATACCGACAAGAATACAAAAAACACCGCCGCTCAGTCCTACACTGGAGAGCAAATTCGGTAATTCAACATATATTTGTTTTTGTACTGTACAAATAGTAATTATCCTTTCTGTAGTGCGATATACGATGCGAAAATCAATGCTTCCTTAAAACTTTGAGTCCGGAAAGTTTTCAATATGGTGTTGCTATTTTTACTATAAATACTGCGTTAGATATGCGGTTTTTTATGTTTATATGCAGTTTTTTGTGGTTGGAAGTGAATTTGAATACTGCTTATTAAGGTTTTAAAAATTAGCATTTGACATTACATATAACTTTATGGCACAATTAAGTCAATTAAGTTTATGTTTGTCTTTAAACTTATAGAGTGTGAGTCACAAGAAATAATAATCTAAAGTTTTTTTGTCTGGATTAGAAAAGAAACCTAAGAATGTTGGGTCGATTCATATCTATATTGAAGCTAAAATTATTACCTGCTAAGTTATCTGTACACATTGCAAGGTCATCGAGATGAGATATTTTATTGTTACTTGAAAGCTTGCCGGCTCATCCAATCACATTTATTTAGCATGTTAACCCATACACATATTAGATGACTTTATATAAGTATTATATTTCTTATATTTATATTAGTGGACTTTTAATATTACATTTATGTTTGTTTTTTTGATTTTTTGTACACCCTTTTAATGTTGTTATTTACATTATGTGTGTGTTTTGATCATACATATTAATTATTCTATTGAATGTTATAACTTTGCTTTATTTTATTAACAATATTGCTATTTATAGAATGAGTTATTCTACTAAATAAGTCAATACTCCGTTAATTACATTTTAAGTGTTACGAATTTGGCAGGAAGCAAATCTTTAATTATTTAATATATCTATTTTTAAATGAGGTAATGTACTTTATATATTAGCCATTTACAATGATGTTTGATTTAGGTAATCCCTTTTTATATTCTATTGCTGTAAATTCACACAAATGTGTTTGTCGGATACTGATTATTTGAAAATAAATTGTCTTTAAACATATAGGAAAATAGTTATTATCAAAAGTTAAAATTTATAGTTCACATAGCGGTCTCTTAAATATGTGCTTTTCGTGTTGTTTCAACTTCAGATCGTTGAGTGATTCTACATCACTGATATAGTAGTTTAATTATATTATAGTAGTTCAATCCCCCATATCTTCATATTTCTATCTCTCTCTATCTCTCTCCCAGATATGGAGATATCTGGGAGAATGCCAAAAGGCATTAAGTTCGCCCTTTGTAATCCTTGCTTAAGGTAATTGCAATAAAGAATACATAAATAAATAAATAAATCTTCGGAATGTTTTTCTTTCGTTATTATTTCGAAAATATGCAGGTTGCCTCACGATGATTTCCTTAACAGCTGATCTCGTGATAATTCAGCACTTAAAATTGACAATTTCATTGGCTCGAGTATATTAAATTAAAGGCGAGCGCTCGGACACTGAGCTATCACGGCTCTGTATATAAAATTAACAAATTTGAGTGGAAAACTAACAAACATTCACATAGTAGTAACTACAAACACAACAAATATTTTGAAACTGTTTTATCTACGCGTTCCCATTTGAAATGTGTTCGCAACGGAAGTTGCAATGCGTCACTTTAACGGTCTTCTCCGGCCCCAGGTCCCATTAAGGACATCGACGATGCGGCCGAGCGGTTCATCGCCGAGCAGCGCAACGCCCTGGCCAGGGCTGCCACCAGGAAAGCGGTCAGGAGGTCGCCGCAGAGGTCAGGGTCACTTCATGCTCATATAGCTGCTGGAGAACCCTCCGCCGGTTAACCTGGTGTGAACTTATACCTTATAACCGACTCATCCTCCTGCCCTTATCCGTCCTAAGCGGGATGGGCACAACATTTGAATCGTGTTCAAGGCTTTGACAGCGTTGCCTTAGAAATGACGCATTAGAAATTAGGGCGAAAATCGATGTGAATGAAATTAACGGATTAATTTATACAATTTATTGTACATACCATAACAAAAGAAGGATTAACAACAAAGAGGTTGTACAAAGTGTGGCCTTATCGCTAAAACAGAGATTTTTTTCTAGACGGACCTTTCTTAAAGGAGATTTAATCTCCAGGATTAAATATCCAGGAGTGTGCACTCATGAATAAGGACATTGGGATAACAATTATACATAATAAGTATATGTGCATACTATATAGTTAAACATATGACTCGGTGGCGTGGTTGCTAAGCTATTGGCGTCGGGGGTAGTGTGGGTTCGATTCCCACACGGGACAACTATTTGCGTGACCCACAGATAACTGTTCCGGATCTGGGCGTTTCTTTCCCAAGGAGGGTCGACGTCCAAACCTACTTACAACACGAATCACGTGTTGCGCCGACCCCACCTAGGTGGGATAAGGGGATGATCACGACGATAGTCAGACACACACAATTCATTAATAAACGACTTAATTCCAGATACATAGAGAACACGACGATCGAGATTGAGAACGAGCTGGCCAGACGCACCGAGGACGAGGAGTTGCTCCGCCGCCAGGAGGAGTTCATCAACGCCAACCGCGCCGGACTGCGCAGGAGGTGCGCCCTCATTGGAGTCACATAAAAAAATTGTCTCATTAACGGCCGCCCAGGTTCGGAGCGGTTTTGCGCGGGCCATATTAAAAGTTTTTAGCATTTATGTTGACATTATAATGTACAATTATTAACAATAATATAGAAATATGAAGAAAAATTTAAAGTAATAGTTTTGTTCATAGAGTCAATAGTTACATAAAAAGCAACGAAGTATATAGTATGTCCATGAACAATCAATGTATCCGAAAGCAGTGGCGTTGTGGGGCAGAATTTTATAAGAGAGCCGTTTGTCATTATGACAGATGACGGTTTTATTGTCTCGGTTTTGTTACCAAGGCGCGCCAAAAGATGATGGACATCAAATATATTTCAATGTTGGGATCGATCTTAATACGCGCACCGGAAATGATTAGCTCAGTTGGTGCGTATACGTTCCGGTTTCTATCTGCAGACATATTTGGTTATTGGAGATAGAATTTAGACGTGAGCGTTATGGGGCTAATGTCGAATACCTGTGTGTGGCCAGTAACCGAATCGATCTGTAGATAGAACACTGACACCGGCCGATAAAGGTGTGTGACGTGACGGCTCGCGTTGCAGGATGCGCTCGGCGAGCCCGGTGGCGGCGCGGCGCAGCCCCGAGCCGCGCAGGAGCCCGCCGCGCCGCGCGCGCCACGACCCGCCCGACGAGGTAGCGCCCTATACATCGCACTCTCACACCGCATGCCAAGTCTTACCCTGTTCACACTTACCCCGTACACACTTACCATGTACACACTTACACTGTACACCCCTACCCTGTACGCCCTTACCCTGTACACCCTTACCCCGTAAACCCTTACTCTGTACCCCCTTACCCTGTAAACCCTTACTCTGTACACTCTTACACTGTACCCCCTTACCCTGTAAACCCTTACACTGTACACCTTTACAGCGCAACCTCTTTCAACGCATCCCCCATACTAGCACCACTACTCCCGTGTTACACCATTTAGGACGTTTATGATTACACCTTACGGGCATAGTCAGTCCCCCGATCCTTTCATAAATTTGGAACTTTAAGACACTCGAATTGATCTACAATTCTACCTTACACACATATTTCCTCAAGGCAAAAAACCAAATCGAAGCCCAACGTCATCCTTATATGGAATTGGCATTGAACCCCACCTCCGCCCCCAGGACAGCGAGTACCGGCGGCGCGTGCGCGAGCAGGAGAGCCTGCGCGAGCGGGTGCTGCGCGCGAAAGAGATGCGACGACGCCGCAACGCCGTCGCCACAAACCAGCACGGGTGAGCGCCAATTATGGGTGCCTGCTAGCAACAATGCATCGTCCACCATCTGACACTTACTTACTAGCTAAAATGCACCGTCCAAATGCAAATTCATCGACTTACCTACTGTAATAAATCTCAACACACTCAATAACAATAAAACTCCACCCATACACTACTTGCTAGCACAAGTTAACTGTCCTTCATCATACACTCACATACTACACCCAATCACATTAAAACTCCAAGCATACATTAGCTCAATAATGTTGATGTTTGAAAACATGTTAATTAAACTAAATATTGCCATGATTTGCACAAAGTTTCATTAATTAGGCTACTGATGTCTAAGTCATAACATATGATGCTTAACTGCGAACTGCTTGTTACCTAAAATCAAATAAGTTTGTACAAGATAATCATGTGAAACACTCCAAATTTTCGAAATGCTTGAGATTAGGAATATTATTATAGAGAAATGTCGTTTCTTGCCGGTTCCCCTCTGGTCAGGATTAGTTTAGCTTAAATTAAGTCTATATTGAAGTAACAATTTTTGAAATTAAAGAATAAACGTTTTTAATATAAATATTGGGCACTCAGGGAACGCGAGAAGGTGGAAAAAGAGAAGGAGCCGGCAGCAGCCAAAGTTGAGACCCCCAAAGCAGCTGAGGCTGCCAGTGACAACAGGCCTAGCAGCACGCAGCCCGACAAGCCTGACAGACCTGACAGTCTGAACAGGCCGGAGAAGGGCGACAAGCTCGACAGGCCCGAAAAGCCCGACAAGCCAGACACCACCAGGAAGTCACCTGACAAGCTCGAAACTGACAAAGCTGAAATCAGAGACCGCTCTCCGGTGAAGATTGCCAAAGACGAGGCAGAGGTCAACTCCACATGTGGTATGTAACATAACAAACAGACAAATACTCTATATATAAAATGAATGATATATGAATACATAAGTTTATTGACAAACAAGTAAAGTACATTATGTGTTGGCACCACACAAAGCCTGTCCTGTGGTTGACATCTATTTTACAAATTTGCCAGTCGACATTCTTACACTATGTTATATAGTCCCAAACTAAGTAAAGCTTTTACTATGTGTACTAAGGAGGTTGGTCAATGATAAACATACACATGTCTTTTGGAAATAAACACTTTTAGTATAGATATATAAATACTACTATAAATACATCACACAAATCAAAATCCGGTGGTTATTTTTGCATCCGGTGGCTGAGAAAACTTGGCATAGAATAGTTTTTTTTTTATGTGAAAAGTTGCCAAGCGAGCTGACGGTTCACCTGATTGTAAGTGAATACCGCTGCCCATGGAGATCTGCTACACCCGAGGGTTGCAGACGCGGTGACAACCTTTTGAAAATTGGGCTCCGGCCACTTCACTCACCGGACGAAACGCGAAATTATAATATACTTCCACTTTACGCCGGTCTTCTGTGAGGTCGTGGGACTTACTCGGACGGGCCTGCCCATTCGTGCAACAGCCGAGGCTGCTGCGTGGCCCTACCAACGAGAAATATAATAAAAAAATAGTTTTTTTTTATATATATCATTCAACAACGGGTCAGTATTATCCCACGCACACAAATGCGCTAGTTACAGCATTTACCTGTGGGTCACACAAATAGTTGGCACCTCAATAGTTAACAGCTGTCGTTTCGTTGCAGAGAATCTGACGCCGCCGCGGGAGAAGATGCCGCAGAAGGAGAAGGAGAGGGAGAGGGAGAGAGAGAAGGAGAGGGAGAGGAGTCCGGAGAGGGCGCTCACGCCGCCGCTGCCCTCGCAGGGGCCCAAGGCCTACAGCGACGACGAGCTGGACCTCATCCTGGACGACATCGACGACATCCTCTCCGACGAGGACAGCGGCCGCTTCAAGGAGAAGAAGGAGTTAGTTCTTACCGTAGCTCATAATTGTACAATTACATTATAGCCATAGGTTACCACTTAACCTTCGCCGTCCATGGACGTTTGCAACAGTGGTAGGGCCACGCAACAGCTTGGGCTGTTGCACGAATGGGCAGGTCCATTCAAGTAAGTACCACGACCTAACAGAAGACCGGCGTCAAGTGGAAGTGAGAGGTAGCCGGGGCCCACTTTATTAAAAGGTGGCAAGGGTTGCAAAATGGCGGTTATCACTTAACATCAGGTGAACTGCCAGCGTGCTTGCTACCTTCTCACATAAAAGAATTAAAAAAAAGTATGAAGGGTTACAGTTGCGTTGCCACTTTTCAAAGTGAGCCCCGGTTAGCTCGGCCGCAAGACGAAACGCAGAAGAGTAACACTTCCACTTCACGACGTTTGTCTGTGCGGTCCCGATTCCCCGGACGGATCTGCCCATTTGTGCAACAGAGACTATTGCTAATTTGCCTCTGTTATAGTTGGGGTCTAAGCGGTCCTTAGATATTAGAAGTTGCCATAGTACCTTCAATTCACGAGCGCGCGTCTGGTTGTATTTGAACATGTTCATGCAAGTACGGTAAAAAGCGATATTCTAAAAAGTGATTCGTAGAAAGGTAAAGTTCTGTTTTGTATGAAAATTAGTGCTTCATTACAATATTAAGATGTATCATAAGGGGTTAATTTAAGCTAAACTAGTCTCTTTATCATTTTTACGGACGAGAAATAATAGCCAGATTATTACATTGTTTTAGACCTCATACCAAGGGCTTAGGATCTCTAGGTGTAAATTAAATAAGAGTACATTTAAGTATGTTTATCGGATACCTAGCAGACATAGTACAAGCCTTGCTCACTTTCATCCTACACTGCGATGGCCAGTTTGAGGCTGCCACTCGAGAACCGGTCATCCCCAACGGTTATCTGTTCTACGAGCTATATGGCCTTCGCCACTTCATCATGCTCATCCTCTAAGCTATGTCGGTTATCTTTGTTCTACTGCGGATGTCTTCATTGCGAACTGTATAATGCAGAGAAATACCAAACATAGTTCTCCGGACGGCTTTGAGCCTCTTCATACGGGCAGCAGTTGTGTACATATAGTTAAAATATTATATTTGTACCGAAGGGAGGCGAGCAAGGCGAAGAGCTCGTCCGACCTTCGCGCCAAGCTGCCGGCGCGAAGACCGCCGCGCCAGAAGATCGTCTTCGGCGAGCCTGAACCGGCCAAAGGTATACTGGATCATTACACCCTACTCATCATCATTCTCCTGCCCTTATCTACCCTAGAATGAGTCGGCGCAACATGAAAATGTAGATAAAATACGTTCAGATCTCGGTCGGTGCGGCAATCGGACGGTTAACTTAGTAGCTACAGCGTCTGGAAGATACGGGTTCAATTCCCGCAGCAATGAGAAACTCTTCGTCCATTTTTCTAATTAATTTTTAAATTTTAATGTGATTCATGCTTTGTGTGCTTTTGGCTATGTTGTCTACAACCGACCCCCAGCTTGACGTCATCCCTCCTTGGGAAAAAAACACCCAGACACAGAACATATATTTGTCGGTCACAAAAAAAATTGTTGTCCGGTGTGGGAATCGAACAAACACACACTTAACAACTGAGTCACCAAGTCAACTGTAAACGCGAAACTTATACTTTCACTTCACACTGATGAATGTTTTTCAAAGAGTTTCTCTTTGAAAAACATTTTGATAGTATTATGTATATATTTTGTTACAATACATGTAAACTTATAAAAAACTTATGACCCTTACTTAGCACCCTCTATGGTAAAAGATTCCATGGATTTTTTTTTGTTACAGAAAAATCACCAATACGCAGGACCATAGTTACCAGCTCCACTAAAGCTGACAACGGTAACTCTAATAAGAAATCCACAAAGGTAGGAGTACCATTACTAATTGAGTTAGTATTTATTTCATAATATTTAAATGCAAGAGCCGCGATAGCTGAGTGTCCTGACGGACTCTTTTAATTAAATATACTCGAGCAACCTAAGTTCAAATTGTGGTGCTGGCAACAGTTGAAGACTAATCAACAAAATTAAAATATTTAGAAGATATGTGTATCTTGGTGGACTACTTTCTTATACTCGGGAGTTATTTGTCCAGCAGTGGGGCATAGATGGGCTGTTACACTGGACATTATGTTGTTAAATCTGAATGGCCCACAAAGTGTTTATTCGTAGAACTTGTGATGATTCATTGTATGGTTATTTTCGTACAGTATTCGGCGACCTTTGGAAAGAGACGATCTGCTAGTTTCGGTCTTGTGGAGCGTTATCTCTGTCGCACACCACCTATTTAACATATTATGTCAGTCGTTTTACAAATGCCGCCGAGAACTAAAATTTGTGTTTACTAGTTTTGTTTAGTCTCTCATTCAACACTAATTGTCACAACTACATATTGTTCACTAAACACAACCTTTTTTGTTAGCAGGCAAAGCAAAAGACTGACGCCGTCTCTGCCAAGTCTCGGGCCAGGATTATATTTGATAAGAAAGAGGTGAAATTTTTCATTTGATACATTTTCTATCTGTCCTTTGTGTAGATTTGGATTATCACCATTTATTTGTGATCATAATGTTAACTTTGATAAAGTACAGACCACCCAGACTAGTCTCTATGGTCGAGGTACTTAGATATTCCCGCTTTATATGTTCTCAATTTTATAAATCATACTAGCGGACCCAACAGACTTTGTCCTGCACACGCGACTTAAATCCGACAGCAAATTATGAATAAAAAAAAAAAAACAAAAAACGAGTTGTGAATCTAAATCATTCTCGAATCGACCTGAAGACACAAAAAAATTCATTAAAATCGGTCAAGGCGTTTAAGAGGAGTTCAGTGACATACACATGTACAGAAGAATTATATCTACAGGGTGGCTTTTCTAAAGGTGCCCAAATTCACACAGAAGGTCCAGACTCGGTAGTATAATCGTTTATTGAAACAAAAACAAACTCTTTTTTTTTCCAAAAAAATTGCAATTTTATTCCCTAAAAACAAAATTTGTCGACAATGCGGTAGTCTTTCATAAACGCGTCAATACTTATAAATAATTAAATATACTTTTGAAACGAACTTGTGTGCGTGTTAGCTATGAATGATCGTGCGTAAAATAGATGAGTTGCCCATAAATCAGGCTCTTTTTGAGATAACTCCAAATTTTAAATATTTATCATTTTTTATATAAAATTATTTATGTTTAGAATTTAATAAAAATAAATGGATACACTTAGAAAAGCCTCCCTGTATAAAGAAGTGGAAGTCATATGACTAGAAGAGTGATGAATATAAGTGTGGTTGTAGGGTGCAAAGCTAGAGGAAGACTGGGAAAGATCTGAATGGATTGTGTGAGATGAAATGTCTGTGAAAGGGGCGAGTATTGAGATGAAGGTAGATAGAGGAAAGTGGAAGAAAAGGAGATGTTGTGCCGACCCCACCTAGTGTGAAATAAGGGCAGGAAAATGAAGAATGAAGACAATAATTCAACGGCCTCTTGAACCTTAAAGCAACTATGTATCAGACAATATACATGTATATGTACTTTCCATTTGAAGCGTGTACAACCATAGATGCAATATTACTTTAAAGAAAAGAAGAAAATGTTAGATAACATAAACAACACGCCATAAACAAATCTTAAAATCATATTAAAAAGGGCTTTGTCCGTGTCAATAAATATGTAAACTAAAACGCCCGAAATAATAAAAGTATGTTAAGTATTTATGTAAGCTCAATCAACTCATTTTGGCTACTTTCACTTATTTAATTTGATTGGAAAAATGATGACGATGATTGTAAAACACTTGACACACCACTCTGACAGCCCGAGGGGGACAAGGGCAAGGGCAAGCAGCAGCAGCAGTTCGCCAACGCCAACCGGCGCGTGGTGCTGCAGCGCGCGGGCGGAGTGTTCGGCCGCGCGGTGCGCACCGCCCTCGGAGAGGCGCGCGCCCCGCCCCCGCCCCGCCCCGCCCCCGCCGCCGCCCCTGCCCCTGCCGCCGCCTCGCCCCCGCCCCGCGTCGAGTACGGCTCCGAGTCGGAGGGCGAGCCGGAGGGGGCGGGCGGGGGCGGGGGCGCCGCCGCGCTCGTCACCAACCTGCCGCACGGCATCACGGACACCAGGCTGCGCACACTCGCCGGCGACAGCGTGCAGGTAATGCCGGCAATGGCGGCGATGGTGGCAATGGCGGCAATCGCGGCGGCCCTGGACCGCGCGGCGCGTTTCATGCTTCGCGGCCGATTGTGTGTGCGTGGCTCGTAGGGGTGGCTCGCGCGTCCGTAATGATGTAGGGGTGGCACGCATACGTTAGGGCGGGGTGTAGGGTTGGAATGCGTATATGTTACGTCAGTGTGTAGGTGTGATACGCGCGGTCGTTCATTCAGGACAGGGGTGGCTCTTACATTTTAAGATGGCGCAAGCGTCAATTTGAAATTGTGTTAGATCAGGATTCTCCCGGTGAGATTTTGTTATGTTGTTGATCGTCCCTATCGGTGAGATTTGAAGTCCCACGGTAAGATTTGAGGTCCCACGGTGAGATTGGAGGTCTGACCATAAGATTTGCGGTCGAAGTGAGATAGTCGAAGTCTTTAGGTGATATTTAAGATCTCTCGGTGACATTATGTTCTGTGGACGTCTAATGACTGTAGCAGCGTAGAAAATGATTGTTATTGAAATAGTCATTCCACTAATCATTCTTCTCTCATTTCTAAAAGTATTGACGTTTAAATAATTGCAAATTAAATTACTTCACTCTCTTTTAATTTCTGAAAATATTAGAATTTAAACAGTTTTTTTTGACAGATGTTAACCAATAAATAGGTTGATGGTCTGGTTTTTTTTGTTTGGTTCTCAAATCGGAGAATACATACAGGGTAGCTTTTCTAAAGGTGCCCAAATTCACACAGGAGGTTCAGACTCGGTAGTATAATCGTTTATTGAAATAAAAACAACCTTTTTTTATTCAAAAAATTGCCATTTCAATCCCTAAAAAACAGAAATTGTTGAAAATGCGGTAGTCATTCATTAATAATACACTTTTTGAGATAAGTTCAAATGAATGTATTTAATTAATTAACAATGATTTTAAATATTTATCATTTTTGTATAACATTATTTATGTCTAGAATTTAATTAAAAAAATGGATACACTTAAAAAAGCCTCCCTGTATAGTAACAAGGAATACTTAAAAAATGTAGTACCGACGTACTAAACTATACATACTAACTAAGCCAAACAATAATTCGTTTATGCCAAATAGTAAAAAAAATTAAAATTTAACTAAAATGTAAAATAGTTATGAAGTAAAAGTATTATTAAACACAAAACTTACACAACTTACAAACACAACAATTATACAGCGTGTCGTTACCAACGCGACAATAAATGAACACACCTATAGAGGATAACTTTTTAAAATTATGTTAAACATTTACATTCTTCAAACATCAATATTTTCCGAGTTATTAAATTTTCCAAAACAAACAATTTTAGAACACCCTTACGTATAAAATTGTAGCGTAAAGTTCATTTGTAAAGGTCACAAAGCATATGAATGGGTTGAATGAATTTAAAAGAGGCAAAACATACTGTTAGAAGACGAGGCATGTAATGCGACGCTGTGGCGCGAGTTGTATAGAATGTTACAAATTTTGTTTCTTTTTTACTTAATTACTTTGTTTGAAAAATATATTTTTTAATCATGGATTTTGTTTAACGTTAATATTTTTTTATGATTATTGCCAAGTAGCGTTAGACGTGTGTTCATTTATTGTCGCGATGGTAACGACACGCTGTATATGCGATAAATAGAACATCGCATTTTTATTTCAAATTTATTCTTCTTTCAAATTTATTATTCTTCTTTTCTATTGTAATAGATCTTCTTAAAGTGATTATTAAAAACAGTCATTCCACCTTAATTCATCTCGTAAATTTTTTTTTTAGTTTTAAGGAACATTGCCCTTACTTAGGATAACATTATCCTGTGCTGTAGGGACGATTTACAAACATACATTTCACGTGGACAAACACCCAGAAGCGAAACAATTATCTGTGGGTCGCACAAATAGTTGTCCCGTCTGGGAATCGAACCCACGACCCCCGACGCCGAAGCCAATACCTTGGCAACTGCGCCACGGAGTCCTCAAATGCGGGTTCGATGCCCACACGGGACAACTATTTGTGTGTTCCCCATATAATTGTTCCGGATCTGGCATGTTTGTTTCCCAAGAAGGGCTGGCTTCAGTAAAAAATCTTAAAAAATCTAGCCTAAACCGCATGCACAACATGATTCACATGTTTTGTGGATCCCACCTAGGATGAATTATATAGAAATCAACACAGGTACCAAATACCTCTTGCTGACGGGCTCATCCATTTTTTATCCGCAACTTCACATGGTTCGTTTGGTTTTAGGAATGTAATTCAATTCATTTGATTATACGAAAACAATTTACATTCAAGTACATATAGCTAGTCTTGTGTCTGTTCAGTCATTTAAAAGAGCTCACTGAACTAGTTTACTAAGTCATTCTATTAGTTCTATTAGCTCTTCTCGGTCTTCGGATTTGGTCGAAAAAGTAAATAGCACAAATACTCCACTATGTTTTAATTATGTTAACTTTAAATATCTTACATTCTCAAAGTGTGGCTTTTTTGTAGTAAGTACATATTTCATAGACAATAGACTCCTGTCTCTCACCATTTTGCGTCGTTAAGCTAAAATAGTCGTTATCGCATTGGTATACAACATAAATCTCTATAGTCTCAGTTTAACCGCCTCGTTCGGTAGATAAAATCGTTATTCGTCGGTTCTTCTCCGATATACTCATTCTACTCGGTCACCTGTCGCCGATTGCCTCTCTCGGTCACGTTCAATATGTTAGTTCGTTCGCTTGTGACTTGTGTAGGCAGGTGTATGAAAAGAAATAGCTATTACACCGATTAACAGTTAGCATTCGGAAACGTTATTATTATTTATAAGATACCGTTTCCTATTCGTTATCGTTCGCAAACTACACGAAACTACATAGGACTGTTTCAGTGTTAAGACTCTAGAGTGGTGATAAAAGTGTAACCGAAACTTCTTATCTCTTCTTACCCTGTTCTATTTTTTTATGGACATCATAACATTTTCGAGTACTGTAAGCAGTATTCAAGTTTTTATCAGTTTAAAAAGATTTCCTAATGATTCTTTGGGGCCTAGATTATAAAGTGCTCAAATAGTTTCTGGGGATAAGAATTGAATAAAGATTGTATTTATTTCGTTATGGATAAAGATTGCGATATCCCCAAAATAGAATCCTTAAGTATATTCTGTGGAAATAAGTAAAATATACTAAACAAGCTGTTTCTCCATCAGTCGACTATCTTATTTTATGAGGAATTTCATATAATATTATTATACTCTGAAATTATTGAAATGTAATAAAAGTTATCTTAAATTGGATTAATCATTTATAAAACCAGTTTAAATCGTTCCATAATTTACATGTTGAACCCTAAAATTAAAGTCCACACAGATATGAACAGCCATATAAATTATTCCTTTATGAGAGCTTGGGATATAATTATTTCCAATTGTTCTATTTGTAACAAAACATAAATTGATGTATGTCAAAATGATTCTTCATAATGTTGAGAATATATGTAAAATAACAAGATAAAAGAAATACATAACTATATTTTGATTTGTATAGGAAAATAATAACAAAAAATATAGCAATTTATTTTTATTATCCTTCCTTATAAAAGTATTTACACGGCGACAGTGCAAAGCATTTATTTTCATACAAAATAGAAATTTACCTCGTTATGAATAACGTTGCACTTTTCACTGGCATCTGATATTCTCAGCGTACTTAGTGGTAGTTGGTAACGCAGAAACGAGCACAAGTGACCTGAGTGGGCGTACTCATCTTGTTTTGGTTTAAGATTTTAAGCTAACTCAAAGGCTACTTAATTTAATATCGGTTTCAAAGTCACCCCTACATATATAAGAAGTAAACAGAATTTACCACGATAAAGATAATATGGATTTTGCATACGACAGAGCCTCGAAGCATCAAACTGTCAAGAGGGTATTATTAAATTTGTACCAATCTTTGATATAGTATGTGATATCTTTATATGTTTATATAGCATGTATATAATGTAGTGTTAAGTTGTCAAACACCGTTTTATCAATTAACAAATGTGAGAAATATGTTTTGATTGTTCAATTGGTTTTTTACTTAACAAGACTCACAATTGAAACATATTTTCCTTGTATGAAGAAATATATTTGTGAGCGAAAAATTAAGCAAATTCCTTAAAAACTTTGGCCGTTAAAACTGTGATATTATGTTAGTTAACATATTAGATAAGGCTCAATTTGGAGCATATACTGATAACACTAAAAACAATATGAAAAAAGTTCTCATAAAGGTCACCTTTAAATAAATGTCTAAAGAAAGACTGAAACAGACATTTTAATGTATTGTATATTCCTGTATGTGATAAATTTTATGTTTATAAAAACATGCTTTATAATTATGTATATTATGCTTATTTATTTTTTAATTTATAAAACAAAAACATATAAAATATTTTCAAGAATGTGTAGACTGTTGACAAGAACATTTGTTATTCACTAAATGTTAGTTTGAATATAATTTGTAAATAAAATTGTAAACAAATTGAAACAATATGACTTGTAAATGTTAAAAGCCATGAAATTTAGACAACTGCATGTGTTACATAAAGAAAAATGCTGGTATATATCTACTGAGAAAGACTAATGGAGCTTTTACTTAGCTTTACGTATAATATTGCACTATAGGCAATGGGTCTGTAGAAGTCAATGGTACTGAGAGTTGTCAGTCTGTTTAAAATGCCATTTGAAAACAATTTGGTATAATTTTTTTATACTACAAAGTTCCACTTAACTAGGGTGGTGTCATATTAATTGAGGTTTTATCGTACAAAATAGATAACCATTTTAAATAGATAACCACAGTTAATATAATATGGTACAAAAAAATAAATATATGGTCCGGTTGTTACCGTTTTCTGTATCTTGCTATGAATATGACAAAGTTTAGAGCATTTTCTTTGTGTTACACGCAAGATAACTTTGGAATAGGAAAAGTGTTGAGTGTTGAAAATGAATTGGATAATTATGTTTTTTTGCCAAAACTAAATTATGGTAAATTGATGAATGTTAAAATGAATATAATTAGGAATTGTACTCTAATATGTTTGTTGTTTGGGTACATTTTTGTTGTCAGTAAGTGTTATGCTATCACTGTAAAGCAAATAAGACATTAAAATTCATGATATTTCTTTAAAGATTGCAATTAATGTTACTCTTAAGCCACAAATAAATATAGTACTGTGTATATTTAACACAACATTTAGATCAAAAGGCATATTTTAACAATGCAGTAGATAATTGTAATATGTATCGAATGAAAGATAATGTAAAAACAATTTATACAATTATTATTTTTTAATTTTTGGCAGGTGCTTGTATCAAATGAAATAAGAAATGTGCCTCGAATATCATTTCATTGTTAACATGTAACATTTTTCTTATTCCATCACGCAGTATGTATTTTTAAACATTGCAAAACGAGTGCTTAGCGTTAAGGATAGTGAAACAACACGGATTGATGTTCCAGAGTTTGATATTGGATAAGGAAGAGCGCAGCGCGAAGATATCGTTCAAGACCGCTGTGGCCGCTGACAACTTTAGGAGGAAGTTCAACAACAAGATGGTCGCAGCTAGCAGGCTAACCGTAACCTTGCGATAAACGTGACCAATCTGAACAGTTTTTCAGATCCCTAGACAATATTGAGTTGTAAACAATTAAAAAGAAGCTCTGAATATGAACATTTTTCACAAATCCCTAGGCAATATGAGTTGTAAACAATTAATAAAAGCTCTGATTATGAAAATTTTTCACAGATCCCTAGACAATATGAGTTGTAAACAGTTAAAAAGAAGCTCTGATATGAATAGTTTTCACAGATCCCTAGACAACATGAGTTGTAAACAATAGAAAAAAAACAGTAAACATTCTGCAATATAAACAATATGAGATGGCAATCTGGGTTTTAAACAATCTGAACAATGTTAAATGTGTAAACCATTAGATGGGTAAAATAAATGAGATGTTAACAATCTGTAATGTAAACAACTTTATGCATACAAATTGAGAGTCTATAAAATTCTAACACTTGTTCTTCAAATTGACAATTTTGTTAAGGTCTGCGTGATGTTAAATTATATGTAAAATTTTTAATTACTTAATATATTAAGGACTCTAATGATTTATTTTACTGTTCCAATGTTAGGTCATCCTTTTTTCTTAGTTAGCTTCCTCTATTAGGCAGCTGAGTTGTTACTAATGCAAAAATAACATGTAGATCATATTGCTCCGTATTCTCAATAATGTGTCATTGATTACCACTTTTGTAATTGCATTGATATGATTAAAAACTGTATTTTATATGCTGTTAAATTTTTTGATTTTGATAACTGTTTCATTAATTGCTTTGTTTTAGTTTCGATGTTACGGATACTCTAAGTTTTAACAAAATTTACAAGACAAAGGTATTTGTAAAGTAAACAAGCGCTGTATACAGTATATGTATCCATATATATTAAATACTGTCATTTTTGATTCATTTTATCAAATACATATAATAATCACAATACTGTTAAATACGTCTTCAATACTTGTATGGTACAAATAATTCAAGTTAAAAGTATATTTTTCGATGACTGGCCCATATTGTAAACTGCGATAATGCTCATAGAACATTCAAATAAAATAGATAATAGTCTATATATATGTTAGGATAAATACTGCATTAAACATAATTTCTCACATATATAAAGTACATGTTAACAATCAATATTTTCGGTCATTCGTCATGTGACTCACCAAATGTGGTATTAATAGAAACATTTGTTTACCTAAGAGAACAATAATTTTACTTACAGTAATGATTGTTGTTATTTTCTTTGTGTTATTATATGGTATTATTTTATATTACTTTACAATTACTCACATTTAAGTAAGGCCATAAATACGTCATACTGTTTTTGTATTTAGTAAACATGTGTTTTAGAAATGACCTATGTTACTTACTTCACATCTTGGTCTTTAGTCGACTGTGAGTTGACAATTCTTATTTTTATTAAGATATCGCACACAAAAGATATTAAAAGTGAAATGTAAAGTTTAACATTGATGCAATCTTATTAACACTGCCATTTGGACTACAGAGACTAAAGCCCGGGTTTGATTCCCGACCAATGCTATAGCAGTTTTCAACGCAAATTATAAGAAGTGTTATAAAGTTCCAATGTCAATATTATGCAATGGTTAATAGGGTGGAATTATTAACAAGGTTGTAGGTTCGAAACCTATTCTATAAATGAACATCCTTATTGTATCAGAAGAAGATATTGGATTGTAGATTTGCGAAGCTCTGCATGGTAGGAACACGTCAGATTTAACTTTCCTAAAGTATACATAAATGTTTTGAAAGGTAAATGGGATAATGGCTTACACGCCATATGTTATATGACTAATATCGTCGCAAACTTTGTCATACAAAGTACATCTTTTATATTAATACTTTGGTTCCAAAGTGTAACAAGTATTCAAAAATCAATGGTGGTTACAAGGAAAATTGCTGAATTAATGAAATAGTCCATTTATGTTTTATGGGCACAAAAAAATGGTTTAAAAAGAATCATGTTACTGTTCGATTCCTTTTTAATTTGCCTGGTTTTTTCTAACTGTTACACTATGAAACTAGCTTATGTACGGTTAGTGTGATTAATGATTTTCCTACTCATTTAAACGTTATACTTTGTCCGTTTCTGACTCACTCAAGTGTAGACATTTTATAATATGTTCGTCAGATGTCTTACAGATGTAAAAATTTATAGAAAGAATATAATTAGGGCGCCAAAAACTTAAATGCGCCTATGAAGTAGGGATGTCTAAAAACTATCGGTATATCGATATTTTTTAATCTATTAATCGATAATTTCAGTCTATTATATATCTTTGGATCCGATATATCGATAAAAATATTTACTATCTAATATAAAACTATACGTTTTTGAAATTCGAATCCGGCACAGTCCGCACTTGGTATACCTTTTTTGTTGGACTAAGGGGCTTCTAGAACCTATATCTGATATTTCGGTATATCGAGGCCCATATTGATATTTTTATAAATATCGATATATTTCTTCACTTTCGACATCCCTACTAAAGTTTGTCCGAATCACCGCGCAATGAAGAATTAAAAGTTACAAGGGTGGAGTTTTTACCTCTCGCTCGCGACGCAGCGAAATCGCTATCTGTCTCGCTTCCACCTTGTTATTCGGTGTTTTGTGAATATAAAATTTTCAAATGTTTAAAAAGTTGTTTGTTGTTTAAAATTTACGCGCGCAATACTAGTGGTAAAATTTAATCAGCGCATTTGAGTTTTGCATTGCCTTGAGATATGTTATGGTCGACATCGACATAATATATTTGACATTTGTAACTTGTCTATGAATGTCCGCTTTCAAATTTACGACCAACTCTGCGTTGAAGTGTAGTTTTTTTTAATGATTAAATTTATGTGATAAACTTTTCCGATTTAGAAATATCGTGTGAAATTATCTAGCTTGTAGCTATTTCACTTTTATCTATTTTTTTATATAATAATTTTTGTGTAGATTAGAAGAGTTTTACTTTAAGTATTCTTTCTTCTATATATTATAGTAATTGCGTGCGACCATGTTCTTTGGTTTTGCTTTGTGTATGAAAATTTTCATTTTTCATTTTTTTTCTTGAAGCTTATAAATAAAAATATATAACCGGTGCATTTCTTTGTATATTGACCTTAATTACTAATGTAATTTGTGTTTCTAGACTATTTTTTCAGTAATGGACAACGCCCGACAAGATGTCTAATTTTATTATGTTTTTTTATATAAAGATTTGATTTACGAACACAACTTTTGTGTTAAGAACACATTAGGCACTGTATATAGCAATAGTGACATTGGAATAATGTAGCATCGCTGGTATCTGGAAATATGTTGGACAGGAACACTTGACAATTATTAGCTTATACCAATGCGTAATGTACACAGATCTCAAATAAAATGCGAGGCGAGGACGCTGTGTTGTTTTAATTCTTAGCTTTATAAGAGTTGTTTTCGTTCCCTTTGTAAAGTATCGATATTGTTGTAACCCTCCGTTTGTACGTTTTAGTACATTCGGAATTTTGAAAGAGACTGATTATTTCTTCTGAATAAAATTATCGACATCGATATCGTGTTTTATTTCAATCCCTAAGGGCTTTCTGCGTGACTTTTTATAACGCAATGTGGCAATTTAAATTCGATTTGTTTCATAACAAATAAGATGGAATCTTCCATGGACATTATTAACATCAAAGGTTGTTGACTTGACCGGGGAATTATCGTGCAAGGGATTTCAAAATGATAAATTTCGACAACTCCGTGGCGCAGTTGCCAAGGTATTGGCTTCGGCTTTGGGCGTCGTGGGTTCGATTCCCACACGGGACAACTATTTGTTCGACCCACAGATAGTTTTCGCATCTGGGTGTTTGTCCACGTCAAATTTAAGTGTATAAAACATCCTTACGACACAGGATAATATCCTTAAGGGCAAAGGTTAAAAAAATTTGTTGATTCTCTACTTTTTTTTGTAGACAAATGTCCTCGTCATCTTATTGGACAGTTGATTAAACGCATTGCGTTACAAACAATATACTTAATCACTCGAGATATCACATCTTATACTAGAAATATTGATTCAAAATCCAACAATGCTTTTTTTTAATCAAAATCGGGCTCCAGACTTTGAAAATTTTTCGTCATATATATATATATATATATAAGAATTGCTGGTTTAAAGGATAAGATTAACACGTTCACTGCGTTACGAGGCCTAAATGATCTCTCATGCAACTTCCCTGTATTGCGGCAAGGAAAAACGTGAACTCCGACGGGCATAACTTCGGTTTGCTCCAGTGTAGGAAAGAGATAAATATATATTTGGGATGGCTAATGGTCCCGAAATCGGTGGTATACCTACCTTGGTACCGGATGTCTTAGGCCTCCTGCCGCACTGAATGAATATAATTTTAATGCAGGGCGGAACGAGGCTAAAAACGTCCTATATCTCGTACCGCAGATCTACGCGAGATCCCCGCGACCAGTATTATGCATCGTGTCGATCTTGACCATTTGTATTCGTACACTCATTAAAAACCTGTCTGTAACCACATAAATTGTGATTACTTTTATACTAGCGTTTTAAAGCCCGTTATTTGGATACCCATTTATATGATACTCGAAGGTATAGGAAGATTATTATTGATTTTTAGGCGCCTTGAAACGCAATTTTGATTATATTTATAAAATTATGTTTCCTTTGAATCTAATGAGATCGGAATCGGTCAAGTTGTTGAGGAGTTATGAATGGCTTTTGGTAGATATCTTCAATAAACTGTTTAAATTAAACGCCTCGATGATATTTTTCTTATCACTTTTCTTATCTCAGTGAAAATTTGCCCTATTTCAGTGCGTTACGAGGTGAATAAGATCACATATCACATTTTGCCTATAATTCCTAAACTAACTAGCAGATCCCGGGGCGACGGTAGATTAGGTTTCATCAATTCACTATCTATATTAATAAAGACCAACATTCTCATTTATCTTTTATTTCGCGCCAGAAAATGGATTTTAGTCTGTTAAGGGAGGTGGGGTCTAATTGACCACGTGTCGCCCCAACGTCTGGGCACGGTGCGCGAGCCGATAACACCTCGTGCTGCAGGAACGGAAAGTATGCAGAAATTGGTGCCGCAGCGAACGTGTTAAAGAAACGTATCTTGCATAATTGCATAGAACAATAACATTTTCAGTATTCCCTATTTTTCATTCAAACGAACTGTCAATAGATGGCATTATCATACGTTATTTTTTAAACAACTTTATTTTTCTGTTCTTTTTCTTCAATAGCGGCAAACATAAGCTTTTTAATGATGTTTGAATCAATAGGTTTGATGAAGAGTTATGGAATTTATGGCCTTCCGACAAAAACATTTGAATAATATATACAGTTAACAAAATAACAGACTAGTAAAATAACTTTATGTACAAAGTTAAATACACACATATAATTATAATATAGTACGTTTGGCGTCCCTAGGGGTAGTTCACAAACATAAAAAAAATTACAGAAAATACTCATTGAACGTTTTCATTTGTAGTCTATAATTATTATTAATGTAAGATCACTCAGGTTTCTATAAAAGTAAACATACACCATACAAACTAGTTTTTGACTAAGACTTGAATTTTGATATTTTTTTTAATGTATGTTACATTGCCTACATCAGTTCGTTGAATTTTCGTAGTTTAAATATCTACCAACAGGTGTCGTTGTTATTATTTTTGTAAAAATTATGAACAAAAAGTAGGTACAAAAAGTATATTAAGGAAATAATTTGTAAAAAAAAAACTGATAAGAAATCCGGAAGAACGCAAAGTCATATATTGGATAAAACTTGTGCTGTAAGGTTATAAGTAAGGTAACCTCGTTCAGGGCTACGTCCTTCCTCCAAGGTTCCGTCCTCGATGCAAGGTTCGCGTAAACTTGGCCTCTATCAAAGGACAAGTGGCGACCTTGCGTTTTGGAGGTCTCGCTTTGGCAGCGAGGTCGATTCGCGATATTTCCGCGAATTATCTACAGCGAGTTATTAGTGCGTGTGATGTGTTGGTAAAATGTATAGGTTTTCTAATCATTGCGTGTAGGCGTTTGTTTCTTTTTTAAATTAAATTTTAAAAAAGATATGATGATATTCATAAGATTATTCTTTATTATTGTGATAAAATACTATATTCTCGGGTTAAATATCGTTCATCGTTTCACAACAGCGCTATATTCAAGCCATTTCCTCGCACAACCACTCTTTGGAACCAGCTGCAGCCAGCGGTCTTTCCGAACGGTTACGACCTGGGAACCTTCAAGAAGGGAGCATACTCTTTTCTAAAAGGCCGGCAACGCATTTGTAAGCCCTCGGGTGTTGCAGGTGTCCATGGGCGGCGGTGATTACTAACCATAATGTGAGCCTCCTGCTCTTTTGCCCCTTGTTTCCATAAAAAGAAAATGCTAGTCTCTGCATTCAAGATGAAACCTAAAATGTGAATTTTCGTAGATAAATGAACAAAAGTACAAATTTTAATTTTCAGCAACGTAATAAACTAAAAGTAGAGTTTTCATGAATATTTTAGTAACTATCTGGTCTTTCATAAACATAATTAAGTTGCGTTTTCTGAAGGGGTAAGATTCAGAGGGATAACCGTGGCGTTAAATAAAATACTGTATAACAACGTTATGAATATAATTAAAATAATTTGAAATATAAAACATTACAAAAATACAAAAATCACAGGGTAACTTTATTATTGTATTGCTATATGTCATACACTATACATATTCGTATCTTTTAATTCAAGACATTTGCACATAATAAATATTTTCAAATTACGACAATAATGTGCTAATATATTTTTTTCAATTGGTAACTTTCTATATTGTACATTTACTTATTGTATATGAAAATTAAGTAAAACTATAATATAAAGACAGCTTTCTACTAAAGTACAATGTATTTTGATGCAGACATTTATATGTTAGCGTTTCAATAAGTTGGTACCTAATACTTTATTGTTGAGTTTCGTAATTTCTACTTTGTCTGAATAATATAATAATATTGAAACTGTTTTATCTTTTACATTTATAAATTTAAGGGTAAATATAAATATTAAAATGTTAGGCAATCTACGGATAAAAATACATTTACTCAAATTAATAATAAGCACCACAACATAACTGCAGTGATTTATACATCATTATAAATTATATACACATGTCAAATATATGAAGTTAGTAAGAAGACAGAATAAATGTACCACAAAAACACTGCAAGCTCTAAGCGAGTAAGCTGTATCGTGTAAGTTGAAAATTAAATTGGCGTATAGAAAGGCATGTATTAAAAACATCAGACTGAAAGAAAGCAAGCACTAATGTTTGTCACCTGATAAATATAGTCGTTTTTCCTTATAAATATGTTAATCAGAAAAAAGAACTGACTTAAACTGATTGGAATGAGAACAAGTCAATAAGGATTCATCAGGCGAAGGTATGAAATGTTAATTTGTAAATAAAAATGAAGACTTACTAAAGTTGTTATCGCGTGATATTTTATCTTATGTTAAATGAAAATTGTTGCGTATGCACGGTACTTACTCGTACTTTTCAAAATAAAAATGGAATCAGATGTAGAGTGACTCAGATATAAAATGACTGAGTTATTAAATGATTACCACACGGAACAGAGTTTAGAAGGAGCAGCGTGAATGAATATCGATTTTTAGGATTCGCGCGTACTACATCTCATCGCGTTTGATTTTAATGATTAAGAAAGCGGTTGTGCAATTTTCCGTGATCGCCGCGTTTGACACGTAAAGAAGAATAGCTTCAACAAAGTGTCGTATCGTGAACACGAGGAAACATTTAAAATATAATGCTATAGCGACTTGTGCGTACGTCTAAGTCGACTACAGGTGTGCCGCTAGGTCGCGCCTTGCGGGACACCCTTAACGCGGGAAGGTTTGGGTATCTCAGAAGACCTCCTTGCGGAAGTGGAAGCCGAAGCGGTCGCAGCGCAGCCGAAGCGCGCGTGCCAGCCGCGGCGGACCGCAGTAGAAGACGGTGACTTTCCCGCGCCTCTGCGCTTGTAGCCGCTGGAACACCTTGTCCCAGTTCGGCCGCCCGGCATTTGTACGGGTCTTCAGCCCCGTGATCAGGTCGCGTTTCTCCTGAGGAAATGTAGAAGTTTGTCAACGCATCTATAACCCCATTGTTACAGATGTCCAAGGGTGGCGGTAATCACTTAACATCAGGTGAACTGTCTCGCTTCACAACACTGTCAATATTAGTCTACAAAAACTTTTTTAGAAATTTAAATTTTTATAGTGCTAATCTCTGCACTTAAGATTGCGGCTACACATTCACATAGAAAAAGTACGAAAGGATTGTCGCCACTGTGGGAATCGAACCGAAGTCGTTGGTGTGGCAATCAGCCGTTTAGCTTAGTGGCTAAAGCGTCAGGCCGCAAATGCCGAAGACGTGGGTTCGCTTCCCAATCGGCAATCTTTCCGTACTTTTTCTACAAATTTTAATACTACAAAAACATCTTAAAAAATAATCAGTGACAATAATTATACGCGTTTTGGTGTTCAGTTCTTTTTGATGCATAACAGAATTAGAGAGAGAGAGACAGAAAGAAAGATCATACCTTCTCATGCAGCAGGTCAAGAGCCAGCTGGAGTCCCACCGCGCGCATGTCATGCCTCTGCAGGGCGCTGGTGATGTACATGTGCATCTCGAGGAACCTGCGATCGGCACCCAGCTCCGCCTGCTCCATCTCCAGCTGCGAGAGCAGCGACACAAACCACTCGAACGAGCGCTGCTCCCGGTTTATCCAGAAGAAGTCCACCTGGAGGTCCGAAAGACTCCGTTTAAATACAGCGTTTAAATTATCGCCATCCCTGATTTTATTCGAATCTGTCTAGCATCTGTTCACTGGAGCGGGCTGGAAAATTTCGCTTTTATAATATTATACAAATTCTAAACTGTCAACTACTGTTTATACACTTTTTTATTTTATTTTAAAAAGTTCCCAACGCTGAGCGGTTCTTTTCATTTTAAGTGATTATTGCCACACATATAGTAATTAAAACACTTGAAACTTGCAGATGAATTGCGAACCTTTACAATGGAACCGTGTTTCCTAACTCATCAGGCGAAATGCATGTCCATTATATACAGTCAAGATCATAATTTTACATATTTTTATTTATTTGTACAGCAATAAACAGTGTTCAATTTTGTAGTAGTTTTGCAGTATAAATTCTATGTACGAGTATCGTCACTGCCTTGATAGAACTGTGCGAGTAGGTACAATGGCTAAATAAAAAATTAGCGTATCTTTTTTCACCTTTCGCATTCATCATTACTGGATATATGATATGCATCAAACATAAAAGTATCTAATTTACTTTTTATAATTAGTCCGTGTAGTATGTAATATATTTAACGGTAATCGTGTACAAGCAGGCAAGGGATCACGACCCCAGTGGGAACTCAGATGAATCTTTAAGGGGGCGTTACGCAGTCCAAAGGGCGTAATCACTTCCCGCCAGATCATTGGCTGTTAGTGTCAACGTTTGTTCGGCACCTTCTTGAGGCTCATGTTGCCGTGTGGCATGGCGCTCGGCCAAGTGTGGCCGCAGCGGGGGCAGAGGTTCCTCGCGGCCCAGTGCCGGTGCATGATGCTCTGAAGGATGGACGCGAAGGGGGTCACCCCGATGCCGGCCGCTATCAGCGCCGCGTGCTCTGCCCTGAAGATGTGCGAGGACGCCGCCCCGTACGGACCGTCCAGGTAGATCTAGTGGACAGGTTCCGGGTACGGACAGGATTCCGAATGCGGTGACATCGTTTTGAAACGAAATTGCTTTTTTTAAGTGTCTTTTTACTGTAATCATCCACACAGAAAGACAGATATACATAAAAATATGTATATAAATTATAGCCTATGTGTTATTTTCATGCATAAGCTATATTATTGTAAAGTTTCATTAGAATCCATTCAGTAGTATTTGCGTGAGAGAGGAACAAACATCCATCCATACATACAAACTTTCGCGTTTATAATATTAGTACCTAAGGACTCAATGAGTATGAAGCATGCTTTATAATAATCACATTTAAAGTGCAGAATATATTCTAATGGTTTAGAAGAGTAACATACAAATTGTGAACGATACTTTCGATTTGAAGAAATAGATATTTTGATCAATGTTTCATCAAAATCCATGGTAAATCCAAACTGGGAAAGTTTATCGCGATAATTTTTTATCAATACATAAAAAAATGATTGCAAAGTTCCTTTCCCTTGAGATTCGTATCGAGAAAATATATTGATCTTATCTATGATTTTTACTCAAGTCTTTTGTATTTGATTAACAGTAATGACTACTCAGCTTTAAGTCTATCAAAATTCATAAACCTACGATTAATTAAAATTTGTAGAAAAAGTACGAAAAGATTGTCGCCGCTGTGGGAATCGAACCCACGTGTTCGGCATTCGCCGCCTGACGCTCTAGCCACTGAGCTAAACGGCTGATTGCCCAACCGACGAAAATCTTAACGTCTTTTATCTACATTTTTTTAGCATTTGAATCATACGATATAGTTAATATTTTACTCATAATAGAAAAAGTAAAGTAAAATAACAGCCTATAAATTTCCCACCGAGGCTTTTACCCGGGTAAAGGCCTCTGTGCAGAGGGTATCAGGGCATAGTGCACCACGCGGCCCCACTGCGGATTGGCGGACTTCACATATCTTCGAAATATTTTTTTTATTATTTCGAAAATATGCAGGTTTCCTCACGATGTTTTCCGTCACCGCCGAGCACGTGATAAGTCAGCACTTAATAATATCGTTAGTGCTGGCGCAATATACTCATAATACCAATTTAACTTTATTCTTACCTCCAATGGCTTCCCAATGGGATAGTCGTCAATGACGTCATCATGCGTCGCATCTGATGCGCAGATAGCGGCTTTGTTTGACTTCTCGTTTTGCGCCTCCGTGTCTTTGTCTGGAGACAGGCTTTTGGAGAGGCGCCTTCTCGCTACCATTAAGTTATAAAACTCATTAATGTCTTCTTTCTATTTTTTTAACATTGCCCTCACTTTAGGATAACATTATCCTGTGTTGTAAGAGATGCGAAACAACTATCTGTGGGCCGCACAAATAGTTGTCCCGTGTGGGAATCGAACCCACGACCAAGCCGATACCTTGGCAACTGCGCCACGGAGTCATCGAATTAATGTGTTGCATCTTAAATTTATTTTAATGAAAATGTTCCCATGTGTTTCAAAGCAAAACGTAATACATAAAGAAAAGTGGGGAAAAAAGTTCAAATTTAAAGGGGATCAAACTCAATTTGCTCGAGTAAATTTAATTAAAGGCGAGCGCCCGGACACTAAGGTATCACAGCTCTAGTTGTGTACTTTGTTGGTGATAAATACCTACATATTTTTTTTTTCAATGTAAAAAGTTGGCGAAAGCGCAGGCAGTTCACCTCATGTTAAGCGATTTACCGCCACCCATATACAACATCTGATGGGTTGCCAACATTAAAAAAGTGGGGCCGAAAATCATGTGATGAATCATACGTGAATAAGGCTCATTGAGCCAGCACGCTTACCACTATCGGCTGCATGACCATTTACCACCAGGTTGGGTGGCAGTTAGGGTTCCCCGGTTTCGAATAGAAAAAAACTTACTTTCACTTCACGCTGATCTTCCCCGAACGGCCCTGCCCATTCGTGCAACAGCCTTAGCCTCACGGCCCTACCACGGTGAATAAACCACAATATCGAGTCCTGTAGCGCCATCCGCAGTAGGGATGAATCCGTCCACCTATCGCCACCGTCATCTTTTGGGTTCTCAATTGTCGAGTTTCTTGGCGGTTTCTTCTCAACAGAGACTACTTTTTGAACCGGTGGTAACTTAGGAACCTATTAATTTTTATGTTGAGTTTTGACGTTTCATAAGAACGCGCAAGCGTCTATTTGAATGTAGGTATTTTGAATTTGAATTTATACCGCGGCACACACAACCAATCATCAGCAGCGCTTATGACGTGATACTCTTGCTGAACCTATTACATTAAAATACAAATTGTAAATGTTTCTTCATAATAATTGATTCATTCTGACGCTAATTATACCAGTGAGAATCTATTTTTTATGTGAGAAAGTGGCAAACGAGCTGGCGGTTCACGCTTGCTATTTAGTGACAATCTCCGCCCATGAACACCCGTAGGGTTACAAATGCGTTGCCAACTTAAACAAAGCGGGCCCCGGCTGCCTCACTCACCAGACGAAACGCAGAAGTGTAAACTTCCTACTTTACGCCGATCTGCGAGGTCGAGGTACTTACCGGACGAGCCTGCCCATTCGTGCAACAGCCGAGGCCGCTGCGTGGCCGTACCACAGAAACTCACTCACTCGCCATACGAAACGCAGAAGTGTAAGCTTTCCACGCCGGTCTTCTGCGAGGTCGAGGCACTTGCCGGAGCCGCCCGAATCCGCAACAATTAACGCTTACCGATGGTGAGTATGCTGTCGTTGGAGCGCCTCCGCTCGCAGTCCTCGAGGCTGGGCGTCTTGAAGGCGACGATGGGCGGCTTGTTGCGCATGTAGCGGAAGCTGTGCGCCAGCGCCCTGTGCTGGGGCGAGCGCGCGAACGAGCGCAGCCGCGCGCGCCTCAGCTCGCGGGAATCGAACCCCAGCTCCGACTCCGAGCGGGTGTAGTCTCGGAGCCTGCGGTTAGAAAGAGGAAGAAAAAGGAAACGTTATTATCCGCCTGACCGCAAAAGATACATAAATAATTTAGGAAGAAGAAGAAAGAAGAAAGAAACGTTCAATCACGGTCTGACCATAAAAAACTTAGAAAATAACGGAATCGAGTGTAGTCGCGGAGCCTGCGGTTGGAAAGAAGAAGAAGAGAAACTTTTCACATAAAAAAAGGGAAGAGAGAGTGGAGTAATTGGTAATAGAGACAGTACTTACGCCTGCTGACGTTGTTTCTTTATATTGTTGTGCATGTCCGGCATCGAGCGCGACTTCTCCAATAAGCGCAGTGGGGACAGGAGGGCAGCTGTTCGCGACATGCGAACTTGTGGAGACAGTGCTGTGAATGTGAAGAAGACAAAGGCTAAAAAAGTGGTGGAACTTCGATGTTTAAGTGTTTCTGCCAATGGATGAAGAGATGTGCACGCTACAGCTGTATAAAGTTGAGCGTTGCACAGCTCTATCGAAGTTCGTGAAGCGGAAGTGTTATACTTCTGCGTTTCGTCCGATGAGTGAGGTGGTCGGAGCCCACTTTATTAAAAGGTTGCAACGCGTCTGCAACCATACTAGTGTTACAAGTCTCCATGGGCGGCGGTTATGCGGTTTGCCACTTTTTCACATAAAAAAATCTGTTCTTCCTGTCAATGGAATAAGCGATGTACGAGCTAGGGCTGTGTGAAGTAGAAAATACATGAAAATACATGTATTACTGTCATGATTATCACATTGATACATTGTATACAGATAAATAAAATTGGAGTATCTGTTTGTAATATTTAAAAAAAAAACCGCTTTTTACTGCCTGGATGTATAAACGGTACTTATACCAAAACAACATTTTTTTACAATTTTTGTCTGTCTCTCTGTTTGTTCCGGCTAATCTCTGAAACAGCTGAACCGATTTTGACGGGAGTTTCACTGGCAGATAGCAGATGTAATAAGAATTACTTCTAATTACATCTGCTTTTTTTATTTTAGAAATTTTATTTATTTTAAATTCCACGCGGACGAAGTCGCGGGCTCAGCTAGTATGAAATGAGTTGAAAGAAATTCCGTTGTATTAGCTTTATCGAATAGAATTCTCATGCCAGACAGCTGAGTGTACCTTTGGGCGCAACTTGTTCAATCTCCTCGTCGATACAGAAGGCGTCGTTGGTGTAAGATGCGGGGGAGAAGTCCACGGAGCGTTTTCCTTTCCCACTGCTGGACGAACCGCGACGAATACTGTGCTTGCTCTGATTGGAGATGCTGCGATTCAGTTTCCTGAATGAAGGGAGCGAGTACACGTTAATGGTCTACTCCTTTATGGTATCAGATAATAGAGTTTCTATTCCAAAACATAACCTCTATTTTCTGAATGGCGGAGTGATTAGTGATTCTGTCTTTTGCGCTAAAGACTGTGGGTCGATTTGCTTTGCTTCAAATGCTAAAAAACAATGTACATAAAGACGTTAAGATTTTCGTTGCAATCAGCCGTTTAGCTTAGTGGCTAAAGCGTTAGGCCGCGAATGCCGAAGACGTGGGTACGATTCCCACAGCGGCGACTATCTTTTCGTACTTTTTCCACAAATTTTAAAACATAACTTAATAATTATTATAGCTACTATACATTTACAAAAGAACGTGCATTTACAAAAGTTTGTCGACTTTTGAATTCTTTAGTAGAAGCTTGTAAGACATTATAATTTCTTTGAAAGTTACGATCATTTTCTTAGGTTACAGCAAATGTGATTTTTCTCGTGTGTATTGTTAAGTAACTGCATTAGAACCGCACACGATCTTGAGCAGTTGATAGTGCATCTCATGTGTAAAAGTAGAACAGTCTCCTAAAAAACTGATGTAGAGTAGAAATTTGTATTATTTTTAATCCGTTCAGTGAGGTAGCTTCGCCACACTCTGTTGAAGGTTAGAAACGCAATCAAACGCCTGTACATAGCCGTAATTGTTCTATTTGCTAGTAAAACTATATAAATAGATAGTGAAAGTGTGGGCACCGACTCGTGGGCTTGGGCGTGGGCTTCGGGCGCGTTGAGCCGCCGATGCTCGCGCTCGAAATAGGCGTGCAGCCGATTAGTCCACTCGCCCACTCCTCGGACGTGTAGCCACAGGTAGTCTGGAGACAGATGCACCGTTTTAAAGGTCATAGCATAGTGTTCTTTTTATGTGAGAGGTGGCAAACGAGCTGGCGGTTCACCTGATGTTAAGCGATGACCGCCGCCCGTTGACATTTGCAACACCCGCAGTATTGCAGATGCCTGGCCACTTTTTAATTAAATCGACCCCGGCTACCTAATTCACCAGGCGAAACGCAGAAGTATAACACTTGTATACGTCACGCCGGTATGGTCGTGGAACTTACCCGGACGGGACTGCTCATTCGTGCAACAGAGGATACTGTTGCGTGGTCATTTTATACGGGTAACTCAAAAAGCGAGACAGGCCGCGAGGTTGTCGTGATGAGCCAAGTGCATTTACTCTTTTAACCAATGATTTCTGTCAAATTTTACTCCTTCCAAGTTTCCTTTTAAATTATTAGATAATTTCAAAACTTGGATAAGAACTCAACTAACGGACAACACAAGAAAAAGACTAGAACTTGTTGAAGTGACTTTAACAAATTTGAAGTTGAACTTTCCCTTTTTACTTTTAACCTTGATAAGGTTTGACCGGTAGTGAATGCCATTAGGCATTATGTCCGCCCATTGTAGCTTATAGCTGCCTAACATTGCCGTTCTTTAGCATAACATTATACTGAGTTTTAAGGTCGCTTTACAAACATACATTTCATCAATCAATACCTTGGCGACAGCGCTGCGGAGTCAGGCTTAATGCGATACAGTAAAGTTAAAATAAATAAATAAAATAAACGACAATGACGTCTAACGAATGTTCATACACGACCTGAGGTATAGATGTTCTAAAAGAACGGAAGCAATAGATCAAGTATAAAAGTAAACACATCAAGTGAAGAACGTTTGTCCACGACCTCATAGAAGACCGGCGTAGTGGAAATATAATACTTCGTTGTGTTTCGTCTGTTGAGTGAGGTAATCGGAGCCCAGTCCTCAAAAGGTTGTCAACGCATCTGCAACCCTCGGCTGTAGCAGATGTCCATGGGTGGCGGTGTTCACTAACATCAGCTCGTTTGCCGCTTTCCCACATTAAAAACAGTTAATGCACGACCTTCCTGTTCCGGTGCGCTGCTGATGGTGAACGGGTGCCACTCGTAGGTGGCGATGGCGGGCACGTTCACGAACACGTAGTCGCCCGCGTGGAAGTCGAAGAGCGGCGGCCTTCGGATGACCAGGTGCGTCACGCGCGAGGGCAGCAGGATCCCGGTAGAGATGTACGTCTTGCCGCGCTCGGACCTGCGACGGTACCAAGTTCAAGGTGAATAGCAACTGCTTTCGCTCGGACGTCTGATTTGCAATGCTACGAGTGTATAGTAGAGCCGCGACAGCTCAGTGTCCGGGCGCTCGCCTTTAATTCAATATACTCGAGCAACCTGATTTCGATCCGCGGTGCCGGCACCAATGAAGTTTTCAACTTTAAGTGCTGACTTATCACGTGCTCCGCGCTGAAGGAAAACATCGTGAGGAAACCTGCATATTTTCGAAATAATAAAAAAAAATTTTTTTCGAAGATATGTGAAGTCCGCCAATCCGCAGTGTGGCCGCGTGGTGGACTATGCCCTGATACCCTCTGTAGGGGAGGCCTTTGCCCAGAGATGTATATAGGCTGTTACTTTACATTTTTTTTACGAGTGTATACGATACAAAGTACCGAGCAGGTGACTGGTGAAAGACTCAAGAGCTGTCAACGCATTCTCTTCAATTTGTAAACGAGGCGCGGACGCAGCCACGCACACATACAACTATTCATTTCGAACATTTCGTAATTATAACGGACGAAGAATTATCCCCTTGATCCCCAAACTTAGTCACTTAAATTGGTGAAATGTTAGACATAATTTCTTTCTTTTTTTCTTTAAATCACTGCCCTCACTTTAGGATAACATTATCCTGTATTGTAAGGACGTTTTACAGACATAAATTTCACGTGGACTAACACCCAGATGCGAAACAACTATTTGTGGGACACACAAATAGTTGTCCCGTGCGGGAACCACGACCCCAGACGCCGAAGCCAATGCCTTGGCATTTACGCCACGGAGTCATCATCTCTTACTATCCTTTTAGAGTTTATGGACCAGTGAGCTGCTACTGCAACTACGAAACGAACGAACAGTGAAACATATATAGGCTGCTATTTTACTTTTCTTTTTTAGTATAAGTAAGGAAGTCTAGAAACAATTTTTACACGTATAAAACCCGAAACACGTAGTCTTACCTCATCCAAGCCAGACGCATTATCCGCTCGATGATGTAAATACCGCCGGGCAAGATGAACCATTTCCAGAAGTTGGGGGCGTGGAATATCACCAGAATCCAGAATGGAATGTACAGCAAATGTGTCCAGTAGAAAACCTGGAGGGCAAGAGTTAATTGAAACACGAGTCAAAAGTTGGGATAAGTCAAGTAGCCTAGCTTTGCATATTATCGTTAAAATGTTTCATCAATGCTGAATGTGTAGGATTTAGAAGCTGGACGAAATATTGGGTTTTTATAGTTATTTATGTGAATTAACTGTAAAATTGAAAAATTTTTTTTTCTATTGATTTACAAAATCGTTAAAATGTACTCTTTGAAAACCATTAATTGAAATTTGTCCAGCCTAAAGTCTATTAAGGCCGGCAGTTGGAGTTTAGTTCATTAGGTACATTTAGTATTTTTTTTCTTCTTTAAAACGTATCTGATTAGCTTCTTAATAATGTAGCTTCCAGTGACATACCTCAAAGCTGCCCCCTCTCCTGACGGCAGGCCGGCTGCACGTAGTCAGGACAAAGAGTATCACCACGAGGGCCAGCCCCGTGGGGTTGGCGGCACCACCCACCAGCCCAAAGAGCCCTGGGCGGCTTGTGCCCACCCACTCCCACACAGTGTAGTTCTTCGCATTGAGTATCGGATCGTTCACGACAATCAGACCTGCGAACATGGAATGTGTCAATTTGAATGGAACACTATTGACATTTGATGTCTCAAGTAGGATCTAGTAGCTAGCCTCGAAATTTAGAAATCAGTGTTGAAGATTTTCGTGTAGTGTACAGCAATTGTTCAACGTCTTTTACTCAGATCTTAATAATAGATAAAAAATTACAGTATCTCCGACTCATTATAGAGACGAGTTTTTGTGTCAGACATGTCCAATGAAAGTCACTGAGTATTATTTGGTTAGACAACTAAGTTATACGATCGTGGTTAGGATATCAATTGCTTACTGCAATTTACTTTCATAAATCTTTGAAAAAACATGTGAAATCGACCCAGTACATTCACGTGTACCAATTATGATATTTACCGTAATCTATTACCTCTATGTACTTACTGAAGTTACACAAATGCATTATAGTGTGAACGATGCTGTATATAATTATTAGGACCCCCGTCAGTTTGTGCAGATAGATGTGGTGGTCGAGAGGCAGGAAGGACCCCAGCCCCCGCACCCTGAGGGCTGTGATGCAGTTCCGCAGCATCAGTACTAGCACCCAGGAGCAGTTGAAGTTCAGACACTGACCTGGAATTTAAAGCAATATAATGGTTACAGTCTGAACTTTGTTTTGTTTGGTCTTGTAAAGTCTGAAATACTTTTCTGATCAGAAACATGACTCTGATTGATAAACATTAACATTTATTTTATAGCTACTCGTATTATACTATATTAAACAGAATTTGATTGAGGTCGAGCTGTATCGATAATAGTGCTGAAATTAACTCTGGAAGTAAATTCATCGCTTCAGATTCTTTCAAGTGAACTATAATATAAAGTAAAAGACATATTTTTGTTAAATGATTGGTAAAAAAGAAACCGGCCAAGTGCGAGATGGACTCACGCAAGAAGGGTTTCGTTCTATAAAAACAGCAAAAAAATCATATCTATTGTATGGGAGCCCAACTTAAATATTTTTTTATTCCGCATTTAGTATTTCTTGTCATAATAGCGGCAACAGAAATACATGATCTGTGAAAATTTCATCAGTCTAACTATCACGGTTCATGAGATACAGCTTGGTGCCAGACGGACAGACAGACAGACAGCGGAGTCGGAACCCTAAAAAATGGCCCGCTGAGTTTTTTTCGCCGATCCCTCTCAGGTCCAGTGGCTTTTTACCGAACCGTTAATAGTATTTTGGCAATCAAGGAGTAAGTGTACGAGTAATGCTTCTTAATTGAACAATGTACAAATATGAATTTGACTTTCAACAGATAAATACATTACATGTACAAAAGATATCAATGGCGAACTACTTAAACTCACCGCAAGCTCTCGCGAACATAACGAATCCGTTCGCGTTCCTGTACTCCACGCACCTGGCGGCGAACAGCCCCAGGTTAACGAGGAAGAACAGCCCCAAGTAGCCCAGGAACACCTGGTTGTTCTTAAAGTAGGGCCAGGACAGCTGGTAGGGCTTCATCCTGTGCAGCCTCTGGAGGAGAGAGGTCGGCTGTGGGTCTGGCGGTGGTGGCACCAGCCATCGGTCTATGCTGTGGGAGTTAAAGTGAAGTTACAGCCTATACAAGTTCCACTGCTAGGCAGCCTACTCCGTTTAGAGGGTATCAGGGCATTGTCCACTCACGCGACCCCACTGCGGATTGGCGGACTTCAAATGTTTTAGAAATGTATATTTTTTGTATGTTTTCTTCAGTGATAATTCAGCACTTAAAATTAACGAAATCATTGGTGCTAGCAGTAGGATTTAAATTCAGATTGCTCGAGTATAATGAATTTAAAGCGAGTGCTTGTAAACTGAGCTATCATAGCTCGGTGGGAATAGATTGATTCATAAATTGCTAGTCTTCCCAGCAGTTGCCTCCATATGTGCTGAAGAAAGTTGCCTACATGCGCCGAAGTGCCTCCTCCTCTCACTGGTGCTGTGCCAATTGCACCGGCACAGCACTATTTAGAAGAGGAGGCCAAAACAGGCCATAGTTTCCATAGTCTATGGAAATCTTCCATGACCCTGGCACGACCCAGACGACCCGGATGGACGTTTCCCCGTGGCCGATGCGACATAGACAGGGGATCCATAAAGGATTTTTTCCCACGGAAAAAAAGTTTAGTTAGGATTTATTACATGCTAACCTAATGGACAGATTCTCCAGCAGCCCACCGTGCTTGCTCAGCTGGTCTCTCAGAGCCTCGTAGGTGATGGCGCCGCGTTGTTCCACATCCGCATCCTCGAACATGGCACCCGTCAGCTCCAACAGCTGGTCGTCGCTGAACGACATCCCGTTCTCCTCCATGCAGGCGCGCATCACGTGCTGCAGCTCCCGATGTTGGATCAAGCCATCGCCTGTCGTCATGCAGCAGCTTAATTGCACCAGTAACTGCTAGGGCTACACAACAGCTTGATTGTTGCACGAGCCAATTTTCAAAAATGTTGTCAGCGCATCTACAAACCTTCGGGTGTAGCAGATGTCCATGGGCGGCGGTATTCACTTAACATTTTTCACAACCTTTTAATAAAGTGGGTCCCGGCTCCTACTCACCAGACGAAACGCAGAAGTGGAACATTTCCACTTCATACCGGTCTTCTGTAAGGTCGTGGTACCTGGGCGGACCTGCCCATTGGTGCAACAGCGAACTATTGCGTTCGTGATCACTGTGCTGTCCTATTATCACAGTGATCACGTACCTCACGTATTTCATATACATCCGTTCAGTTCTTTAAGATCGACGTGCCCAACATGCCAATTAAAACAGAGGGGCTTTGTGTAGCAATTACGCACCATCCAAATCGTAGACCCTGAACAGGAACTTGATCTTGTCCTCGGGCGTCTGCCGTCCAAACCGATGGACAGCCGCAATGAACTCGTGGTGAGATATTGTACCGGAGTTGTCCTCGTCGAAGATTTGGAACACGCGCTCCGTGAAGAAAGGCTGCGGAATGGAGATAGAAAGGAAAGTAATTAACATGTTACTTCTGATGAAGGTATAGCGAAATAATCGCTTAAACTCGTCGACTTTACTGTTTATGACCATGAATGAAATTAAAATTCTTGTTATAAATAAATAAATAAAATAGTCCAAATAGGAACGTTTTTAAAATTTAAAAGTTTTAGATATAAAAATCACCAAAGTTCGTTAAGTAAATGTAAAGAACATTTTTTGTTTATTAAATAACGTACGTTTTTTGACACAACGATTTTCTGGAACTGCTCTCTGGTGATTTCCTTCTGGTCTCCAACAGTCTGTCTGAACAATTGCTCCAACCGATCAACACTGGGCTTGTCGATGCCGACGCGGGGTCTGCCAAGTAGAATAAAAGTTACCTATTTGTTTGAATCAGAACATCCTAATGTATACAGCGTGTCGTTACCATCGCGACAATAAATGAACACACATATAGGGGATAATTTTTTAAAGTTGTATTAAACATTTAAATTCTTTAAACATCGTTATTTACAGATTTATTAAATTTTCCAAAACAAAGAATTTTAGAACACCCTTACCTATAAAAGCGTAACGTAAACTTCATTTGTAAAGGTCACAAAGCATATGAATGGGTTGAATGAATTTGAAAGAGACAAAACATACTGTTAGAAGGAGAGGCTTGTAATGCGACCCTGTGGCGAGGATGTTACAAATTTTGTTTCTTTTTTACTTAATTAGTTTGTTTGAAAAATATTTTTTTTTAATTATGGATTTTGTTTAACGTTAATATTTTTTTATGATTATTGGCAAGTAGCGTTAGACGTGTCTATTTATTGTCGCGGCTGTATAAAAGAAATGTAAAAGAAACCTATATAATCCCATATACAATAGTTATACCAGCGTAGAAAGGGTATATGATAGTTTTTGCACACAATTCCAATGAAAACTCGATGCCAGACTTGATTTATTCCTACGAAATAGTTATAGTAACGTAAGTATAACATTTTTAACAATAAACAACATCGATTTTAAACATCTCACTCACTATACATTTTCAATTTTATTTTGAGCCGTGTTTTGTTGTATCACCGTAGTCCAAGGCCCGATTACCAATGAAATTAATATGGGACCACTGTTGCAGCGCCATCTATCGGCGGTATTTGGTAACGTGCTGACGTAGACCAAAAGTCAACCAGCGATGGGCTGCCTCCTTCCATGATATTATTATTCTCGCAAGATTTGTTTTCTAGTAGCAAAGCGTCCACATCCCCAACTTTTTTTTTACCGTATTAAACCAAGCAATAAAGTAAAGTTCGTTAGAGACATGTAACATTAAAATCTTCAAAATTAAAAAAAAACGTCTACTGCCCAATAAATTTGGTCAGCTTCGAGTTGGGCAAATGCCTCCCCTGTGTTCAGGGTACTAGGGCATAGTCTACGTGGCACCACTGCAAATTGGCAGATTTTACATATCTTAGAATATTGGTTATCATTTCGAAAAAATCGTCTAGCTCGTGGTAAGTCAGCAGCACTTGGAGTGTAATCAACAATTTCATTGGTGCCGGCACGGGGAATAGAACTCCTCGAGTATACTGTATTAAAAGGTACTTAGATCGTAAATGTTGTGTATACCTATAATTGGCGTAAATATAAGAACAAAACCTCTAACTAAAAATATATGTATATAATAGTAATTAATGTGCTTTAATGAAATAAAGACGAAATTGCGTTTTCTGAAATAACTAAAAACAACATTTAAAGCCTTTACTTCTACTTTAGTTTATGTAGTCCCTTTTTATTATACAGGAAACTATTTACTCTTGCACTTTTTCTCAAATGACATAAGCTAACGTAATTCATTTAAAAATTTTCATCAATGTCATTGACATGACATCTGTAGACAATAAATCCATAAAGAAAAAGAACGACGAAACTACGTAGTGATTTTCTTTACATCTCCCACCCTCGGAGACAACAAATCAAAATGATTGTTCTATTAAGAGCCAACCATTACTGGAGATAGCTTTGTAATATGGTAATAGTTTGACTCCGCCTTCTTATGTCCAGCATCAACTTCATAGATTGAATTTGAAATCTTTCTTAGGATTTTGTATGGTCCAATCCTTAATTCATCCATTTTCTTCCTATTTAGTCGGTTTCCGTTTTCTACATATACTTTATCACCCACTTCGAATTCATATTCTTCTCTATGTAGATCATATTTTTTTATTGTAGTTGTGAGATTTTATTGAATTTTTAAATGCTAGTTCTCTGTCTCTTTTGAGATCTTCTATTGTGCATCTTGGTTTCAATTCCAGTGGCAAAATATCCAATTTTTCTCCTTCCATAAGATATTTTGGAGTAAACTTAGTGACTGTATGTTCTGTTTCGTTATATTTTTCTACACATTTTTGTGCAACAGTTGTCCATGCTATTTTCTTGTCGCCTTCATTTATTTTGCACCTTATCCTATTGACTAAAGTTTGATTTAACCTTTCATTAAGTCCATTTGAAAATGGTGCATTCACAGCAGTGAATACCATTGTTATGTTCTCCTTTTTTAGGAAGTCTTTAAATTCTTTCGAATTAATGCCAGGATATTGGTCTGTTAATACCATATCAATATGATTGCTTTGCCTCACTTTTTTTATCAACTTGATAAAATCATTGGAGTTTTGATTCCTTGATGTCAAAATATAAGCGTATCGTGTAAAATGATCAACCAAGAGATGTAAGTATTTTTTTGTAGACCGTGATCCTCCGAAACCTCCAATTGTATCAATAGATATAATTTCAAATGGGCGTGTTGCTGGGCCTAAATGGGACATCAATCCAAATTTTGAACTTCTTCTTGATTTATTTTTTATACAAATTACACACTCATCACAAATTTTCTTAATATTTTTGATGATATTCTTAGCTGTATAGAATTATTTTATTAATCATCTGAGTTCTCCCAATATGGCAGTAAATATTGTGGACATCCTTAATTAGTGTTTTGCTAAATCCTTCTGATAATGCAATTTTTTTCTTCTTTTTGTTTTTTTTTTGTAATAAATGTTATTCTCCAGTATAAACTTTGATTTTTCATCTTGTAGAGTTAGATTTGTGTCTTGGTCCTTTTTAATATCTTCGATGTTTATAAAGTTTACAACTTTTAAAAAATCTTCAGTATTGTCATGGGGTTCTAGGACTGGATTTCTGCTTAAAGAGTCTGCTTCTTGATTTGACTGTCCCGGGTTATATTTTATCTTAAAATTGTATTGGGATAAATAATATGTTAAATCACCCAGTTCTTCATCAGTTCTTGACTTGATGTTTAGATTTTCCAATGGTTTATGATCTGAATATACGGTAAATTCTTTGCTCATAAGCCAATGTTGCCAATATTTTACAGCTTCCTCAATGGCCAGGCATTCTAAATATATTGCCTTTTTCTTCTTTTGAGTTTCTGTCAATTTTTTTGAAAAGTAAGCTACAGGTTTATTTACTCCGTTTTCATCTTCCTGTTTTAACACAGCTCCCACTCCTTTAATACTGGCATCATTGTAAATTTTTATTGGTTTTTCTGGGTCAAATATTTTTAGAATTGGTTTCGAGCATAGTAATTCCTTTATTTTATCAAATGATTTCTGGCATTCTTTTGTCCATACGAATTTGACATCTTTCCTTAATAAATTGTGTAATGGTTCCAGGATAATTGCATTGTGTGGTACAAATTTATGATAAAAGTTTACTTTCCCAAGGAATTGGCGTATATTTTTCCTTGTGTGGATTATTACATTGTAAGATATTCAATTCTTCAGTTTGGATTAATTTAAATTTTTTTATGCAATCCAAACCAATGAGAAAATCATAATGAAAATTTTCATTATCTACCACAAAAATATTCATACTTCTTTCAATGTTATATATTTTTATTTTTAATGTTACCATACCTTTTGTTTTCTTCTCACCATTAATAGTTTTCAAGTTTGCTGTTTGTTGTTTAAGTGTATCTTCTTCTTTTTCATGTATTTTCAATAATTTTGCATTAATTAACGACACATTTGAGCCTGAACCATAAATTGCAGTAACTTTTAAAGTGTCATTTAATAATAAATTTACTTTTATTAATGGTGGTACTTCTAGTTTTTTGGATTCTCCTTATTTAGTTCAATTTCTAATTCAGAGTTATTCACACTTTTCACAACAGATTTTTGATTTTTCATATTAAACCAGCAGGTTTCCTCAGGGTGAAAACGTTTCCCTTTTTTCTCAGTGACACAAATTTGGCATGGTGTTTTTTCTTCATTTTTTTTTGTTTTTATATCAGAGAATGTGAAGTTCTTTTTATCATATTTGTTCCTGCCAACAAGATGTTCTAATTTGCCGATCTCATTGTAGAGATCTTCGGTTTGTTGTAACGTCTCTCGATCAATTTTATCACTTACATAATTGGGCAGGCCTGCGGCTATAAGGTCTATACGAGTACCAGTATCAATCGTCTTTCTAACCTCTAATAACAATTTTTCTTTTTTCAAAGCATATTCAAGCAATGAACCCGTTTGATATTTAAATCCAAGAGCATATCTGATCGGCGACCAACCTTTGTTACCAAATGTTTCGCAGAAGTTCTTTTCCCATATAATCCACTCTGATTCTATTGTAAATTGCATTAACATACAACTGTACCAGTTTAAACTGGAAAATTCCAAAAATTGTTTTAAAATTTCAATTTTTTGTTTGTTCTCATCTATATGAAAACGTTCACATTCTTTGTTGAAATCTTTAATCCACTGGTGAGCATTTGCGTTTCTACCAGTGAATTTTTCAATAACAAAATTTTTTGAAATTTTCCCCAAATTTTGATTTTCAGTTTTGATTCGTTTTTCTTCGAGTAATTTCTCTAATAGTTTTTCCAATGTTTCATTTGAGCTACTTGTTAAAGATTTATGATCATTTGTGTTTTCCGTTATCTCTTCAAGGTAAAAATCATTGAATTGTATATTTTGTTCTTCATCTAAATATATCTTTGATATCTCATCAGTTAAAGTTATCCATATTTTCCTTGTCTGATGTCTTTTGTTCAATGTTTTTCTTATCTTGGCGTAGTTAGATGTGTTTGTTATTGATTGATGTAAAATTGCCGGTTGAAATTCAGCCGGTATACCAAAAGTTTGACCATCAGATGTCCCTATTGAGGTTATGCAAATAATGTTTGATTTTCCATCGGATGATGTTTTCACACAAAAATCAAATCTTAACTTTTCCATACTTCTTGAAATATTTGCAGAAAATGTTGTTTTATAATAGTAATTAATGTGCTTTAATGAAATAAAGACGAAATTGCGTTTTCTGAAATAACAAATTTTCTTTTATTGACAACATAATAAAATACAAAACAATTTGCATATTCTAACAAAGTAACTTACCTGAAATAACAAAGAACAACATTTAAAGCCTTTACTTCTACTTTAGTTTATGTAGTCCCTTTTTATTATACATGAAACTATTTACTCTTGCACTTTTTCTCAAATGACATAAGCTAACGTAATTCATTTAAAAATTTTCATCAATGTCATTGACATGACATCTGTAGACAATAAATCCATAAAGAAAAAGAACGACGAAACTACGTAGTGATTTTCTTTACATGTATATATAAATGTAAGTATATGTTATGCTGTTGGTGTACCTTAATAAATAAATAAATAATAAATAAAAGTGAGCGCGTGGACACTATCACGTCCCAAGTATTTGTAAACGAGGTGCCACGTGACACGGATTATTAGACTCATCGGCGAATAGAATACGGTTCTAGTTTTACATTTCGTCATGTGAACGAAGGAAAGGTTTAAATTTTCAACTCTTATTTTCCCACCTGCTGCTGGAGACTGTGGCGATGAACTCCATGATGTCGTCGGCTGTCACGTAACCGTCGTCATCGGTGTCCACGAGCCGAAACAGCTTGTTCGTGACCTGGAAAAGGAGTAAAGTAAGACTTCCTCTCAAACCACTCACGTACAGACGGACAAACGGCTGGAAGCGACTTTATTTTAAAATACTCAATGGTGAAATTCATTTTCTTGTCTTTCGAACGTTTCTCCATTACCTGCAATAGCTCAAGATTGTACTTTTTCCCCTAATTATAATGTTTGAATAAGTAATTATAATAGGTCTATTATAAATACATCACTTCCATTCACGAATTTGTTCTATGTGAGACATTAATTCGGGGAACAGCTGTAAATTATATTATTATATTACTTTTCGATTTATTATTTTGTTCCCGTTTAAGTTTAAGTAAATTAAAAAGAAGTAACAAAAGAAATTACTGTTTGCACGCTTTAGGTTTTTTTTTAATTTTGCCTTCTGTTGCTGTTTGTCTCTAAAAAAGTAAATTGTTAATGACGAAGTCACTTCAAACGTACTCACCACTTTGTTCTGCAATATCGGTCTAAAGGTGTCCTGGGATATGACACCGTCCCCGCACAGAACGTAGGCGACGCTCTCAACTTGCTCCACGAAGTCCAGCTGCTTGTCCTCGCTGATGAAGATGATGATAGATAAACAAGCCATCATCTTTTTGATGACGAGATGAGTAAAGACAGCTCAGCTCAAACGTCCGAGCGTCTTGCTTTGTGTAAACCGAACTGACCACTTTGGATTTAAGTTTATTTGTGTGTAGTCGGCAAGCGAGCATGATGTTTGTGATTACCAATGGGCCACACCTGAGAGATTGTAGAGTGTTTCATAACCTTTAAAAATACTGGGCTACGGGTACCTCACTAATTGTCTAAAACAAAAGTATAGTACTTTAGTCTGATCTGTGAGGCCTAATTACTTCCCCTACTACCAGCATCTTGCACATTCGTACAACATTCGAAGCTCAGTAAAGCAAGCTAAGTAGCAAACGAGCTAGCGATGAACTTGGTTGGCGAGCTATAACCGATGCCCATAGATCACACTAACATGTAGTTTTTCCAGTATATTTTCTTAGTCGCGACTGGAGGGTACTTAAAATGATAAAAGCGGAATTTATGTTATAAGTAAACAGTGTTTTAAAATATGTTACTGATATATACATCTGATATCTCATCATCTGTCTCTTTTTTATTTCATTATCTTTGTCATCAATCTCAATATCTGATATAATACTACTGTACTGAAGGATGAATCATTAAAGCACCGTTTCTCACTTAGGTACTTCATTCAAAGTTTAATTTATTCAATCTAGAACGCTACATGAAAATTCGACTCGTACAGGCTGAAAAGATTATCAGGATGATGATGAGATCTTAATCATATTAAAACTTGTTATTATTATTATTGACTTATTAGAAGAGTGAAACTTACGGCAGCCTCTCCTTGAGGAACTCGATCCAATCTTCCTGCACGAGGTGGTCTTTTCGCTCCACGTCGAAAAGACGGAATATCCTATCTAGCAAGTCCTGCAGACAAAAAGTCTATAATATAATTTCATTTTTTGACCAAAGAAACTTTTCGGTATATAAATATTGTTATCTTTGTTAAAACTATTAGGGTTAAAATAATACGTATTCAATATTTTATCCATCAGAGAAAGATCAAGATAATGCGATGAAAAGTATATCTTCCTTATAAGATACTATTTCAGCATCAGTTTCCCCGTCCGAGTACAATGATTGAATTGAGGCTTTTCTGAGCTATTGCGTTTACTATCAGGAAGGATATTGGTTCTGGCCAGTTTTTGATTAAAAGTAGCTGTGTAATTTACCCCAGAACAGAAGACCGGCGTAAAGTGGAAGTATTATACTTATTTAAAGGTGGCAACGCATTTGCAACCCTACGGGCATTGCATACGTCCTTGGGCGGCGGTTATCATTTAACATCAGGTGAATCGCCAGCTCGTTTGCCACTCTCTCAAATAAAAAAGAACCTCAGAACAGCACAACGAACCACACTTCTTCAGGGACAACCGTAGTTGTGAATAAGACTCCATTGTGAAATTTAGCATTTTACCGACTTAGAAACCTTTGCGGGTGCATGGAATCTCACAAAACTCTATAGCGACCAGAGGAATTGTACACGGCACTGACAAAGAAACAAAATATACGGAGAGACGATTGTTTAACATTATATCACTACATAGTATGAAATAAAGTCGTTCCGCTGTCTGTCTGCCCTATGTATTCTTAGATCTTAAAATCTACGCAACGGATCTTGATGCAGTTTACTAGATAAGAGAGATTCAAGAGGAAGGTTTATATGTATAATACATTGCACCCGTGCGAAGCCGGGACGGGTCACTAGTTTTTTATAACCTGAAGTTCCGTCTCCAATAACATGTGTTTATGCTGGTCAGCTTAGAAGACAAATATTCACAAATAAGTCAAACACTTACACATTTTTAGTTCCAGTAGAAAAATTAAAACCGACCATAAGCTTAGAAACCGCTGCATGAAGAGATGGTGAACTAAATTATTCCGTTCCAATGAAACCAAACTTTACTCACAACTTAAGTAGCTTCTGACAGGCGAAATTTCAGCTTCCATTACGTTCACTCGATTTATATGATTCTACCGTCTGGATTAATGAAGTAGCGGCTTAACTGACAGCGGCATTTTTGTTTATGTTAATTGATATAAAAAGCTGTTCACTTCACGCGTATAACAATTTTTTTTTTGTAACTGTTGATTTGTCATTCTATATGTATCTTTTCGCTTTTGTTTTATAACTATGGTTAGTAAGTAAGTGCTATAAAAGTGTAATAACTTATTTTTAAGTTATGTTTGAAATATAGGCAAGAAATACCCTACATAATTCAGATGCGAACTGCGACAATTTCATTTTAAGTACTATAGGATAACTTCAGAAGTATGGGTTTTAAACATTGAATTAAGTAGTCCTTAAGTTCTTCTTATAATTTTATTACAATATTTCGCTGATTACATGTCTTTTCTTTCCGACGACCTTGCCAAGAGAGAGCATCTGTTTGTTCCTTGTACCGCTGTTGGCAGTACCCGGAACGCATCATTCTCACGTCTTAATTCTTATTGTGTTATGAGTACTGTTTTAAAATACATAATAAATTAGTTTAATATTTCTTACAATATTTGTGACAACTAATTACAGCTTTAGTTGTCTTTATGAAAAATAAATTAAATATCGGATCTTAATTTACATTTCAATGTTGCCATATTTCCAAGATATAATGTCGCTATTTTACAAAAGTTTTATCGAACATAAATTTATAATTAATCGAGAATATTATAATCGTTTACAAAGTAAGACTAATTTTCTAGTCAATATAAAATATAAACGCATAATAGGCTAACAATACTATACTTTAAAATTCTTTTGTTAGTGTTTAACCAATAATTATACTTTTAAACATTATATTTTTTTTTAAATCTTGTACAGATTTTTAATTCTTAAAACGCCTTTATTAATTCCATCTGCATGTATTACCAATATGTATGTAACGATGTGTTGAAATATTTCGCTTAATTTCCCATCCACTTCCCGAAGTCAGAATGATTTAAAAGTTTGCACACATGAAAGACCTGTGACAATACAATAATTTCATAATTACGACCCACTATTTTCTACAGGGTAGGCAGCTCATAATAATAAAGATTCTATTCTTCAACAACTTAGCAAGATAACTTAAGGCGGCTACTAGATGGCGCCACATGTTTCAAACGGCGAATAAATTCATTTTTCAACCCATAAAAGGAAGTTCTAATATGTAGTATTTTTTTTTGTTTACTTCCTCAGAACTGTTATAGGGCCACGCATCAAAATTCGCTTGCACCAATGGGCATGTCCGTCCGGGGAACCACGATGACACAGAAGACCGGAGTGATGTAGAAGTATGATACCTTCGCGTTTCGTCTGGTGAGTGGGTTATCCGGGGCTCTTTTATTTTAAAGGTGGCCAACGAATCTGCAAGCCCTCTAGGTGGAATAGACACTTAATATCAGGAGAACCGCCAGCTGGTTTGCCATATTCTCACATAAAAAAAAAGCTCCGTGATTTATGAACCGATTTGATAAATGATTGCATTAGGTTCGGCGTAGCTCCTATGTGGTCCCACATTAATTTCATTGATACCGGACCTTGACTTTCGGAGATACATCAGGAACTCCCCAAAATCAAATAGAAATTGAATAGTGTTAGTGAGTGAGATATTTGAAATAGGCTTTTTTTTTGCTTTTTTATTATTAAAAACGTCATTTTTCGGTACACTTATCATCAGAGCCGTGACAGCACATTGGGCAGACGCTCACTTTTAATTCAAGTATATTCGAATCCAATGAAATTGTTAATTTTAAGTGCTGAAATATCACGTGTTCCGCAGTGAAGGAAAACATCGTGAGGAAACTTGCATATTTTCAAAATACTTAATAATAAAAGAGATGACTCGGTGGCGCATTTGTTAAACTATTGGCTTCGGCGCCGGGGATCGTGGTTTCGATGCCCACACGGGACAAGTATTTGAATGACAAACAGATAATTGTTCCGGGTTGAAATTCAGTTTTAACGTCAGGCAGACGGCCGGTTGTAAAAAAACGCCAAAACCGCTTACAATATGATTCACATGTGCCGACCCCAGCTAGTAGGTAATAAAAAAGTATTTTGAAGATATGTGCAGTGGTATCGCGTGGTAGACCACGCCTTAATATCCTCTGCATAGAGGATGCCTATGCCTAGCAGTAGGACTGGCTGTTACTTTACATTTTTACTACTTCCAAGTTCGAGTATATTATTATACAACTGTGGTAGGGCCACACAGCAGCCTTGTCTGTTGCACGAATGGGCAGGCTCGTCCGGGTAAGTACCACGACCTCACAGAAGACCGGCGTAAAGTGGAAGTATAATACTTCCGCGATTCGTCTGGTGAGTGAGGTGGCCGGAGCTCAATTTTAAAAAGGTTGTCAACGCATTTACAACCCTTGGGTGTAGCAGATGTCCATGGGTGGCGGTATTCACTTAACATCAGGTGCTCGCTTGGCAACTTTTCACATAAAAAAATAACTAAGCTATATACATATATATAGCTTAGTAATTCAGCTGTCCGACCACTTAGCGTGCTTACAGATCTCGAAATGCAGCGAAAGTTAATTAAGAAACGTGGCTGATAAGAAGCATATTTTCGAGCGCTTTGGGTGTTAATTGCCCGATGCTATCAGCTGTCAGTTGCGTCGATGGCACGTGACACGTGACATGTGACATGTGACAGGTGACAGGTTAACCCAATCGGCGTTAACGTGCTACGTAACGCGAGGCGGCGTTCTGTGGTGTAGTGTCGAGTTTTTTATGCTATAGAATACGAGTAAATATTCCATTACAGCCTTCCGTTGTTGTTCCAATATGTGCGTTTAAATTTATTTTTGGTAATTGCAACACTGGATATCAGTTGTTTATTTTCTGAAAGATCAGAGAAAACACGTTTTGTCTAGACTATTGTTAGAGTTTAAAAAAGATTTCAAGATTTGTTTACATTGCATACGATAGCTAAGCCGGTTTTGGAATGAGAGAGGAGGCTTCGAGAGCATTACTTAAGTAGAGATAACGTTATGAATAAATTATACTCCGTTCCGTATAAGATTTCAAGCCACTATAGAGGTTTTACTCTATAGTGGCTTGAAATCTAGAGCCTATGGTTTCCCCGCCAAAGTTGGGAGGGGCTTTGGGACGTTATAGCACTGTCCCTTCAAGGTCTTATAAGGAGCCCGCCAGTACCTCTCAGCCTTTGCAGGGTTTTGCTTATACTAGTATACTGTAGTCACTCGGGACCTCTCTATGTTGCCAGCTAAATAGGGTCAACTTCAACCGTTGATAAGGAGACCCTTTTTAGCCGTACACGACTCGTTTTCGACCCAAAACTGTAAATTTTAGGTAAAAGCAAGGTGTTACAGAAGAAAAATAAAAAAGTTGAAAATGGAGGTAAGGTTTTGTAATGTGTTTTTTTTACAAGTTTTCGCGAATCTAAATTTGCCCATATCTTCTTATCGTGCTGACTCAGGAATTTGATTTTTATACACCTAATACGAGTAGGGGCTATAGTCGCTTGGTCGTCCCGTTCTTGAGGATATCGGTGGTGACACAAGGACACAGAAGGACAAGAGAGTGATCTTATAAAAAAATATTTATTTAAATAAATAAATATTTCAGGGCACATTTTTACACAACATTATCTAGTCCTAAACTAAGCAAAGCTTGTACTATGCAAGGAATATAACTTTTTACCGAGAGCCGATGAATTCTCGTCTCTCTACCACCCGCTGTTGATTGCCGGTGAATACTTAAATGGTGAACAAATTAGCTTATTTAATGATCTTTCCTTAAAGATCTTGTTAATAAAAAGCATCGAGTTACGGGATTTTTGTCTTGCGTTATCATTAAAAAATCTACGTAGTACGATTAGTTACAAAACTTCATTTCAGAAATCTGATCTGAACTTCAAATTGTCGTGATATTAAACCTCAAAGCGACACTAACACACATACACATAAATATGTATATATATATATATATAATCGGAATCTCGGAAACTGTTCCGGTTAAGCGATTTTCATGAAATTTAGTATGTGCGTAGATTCGGGGGCGAAAAATCGATTCAAAATGCTTTTATCCCTGTTTTCAGTGAATGAAAAATATCATTCGAATATGACAGTAAATTTCGCCGCAAAAAAAATGTTATAATAGTTCTGTCGGTCTTACACAACGTTCTCTAGTCCCAAACTAAGCAACGCTTGTACTATGGGTACTAGATAACTGACAAACATATTTTTCTTTCGTAAATAAATACATGTTATACATATTAAAACACCCAGACACTAGAAAACCACTATTTTCATCACAAAATATTTTTCCAGTAGTCGGAGTATCGAACCCACATCCTATGGTGCAGGAAGCAGTTACACCCACCACGCCATTCAGGGGCTCTTATAACTATTGAACTTATTTAATCTAATTAATAATTTATCAATAATT